ACAATGCTTTATTTAATGAAGTTTGCTGGAAAATAATTTAAAAAAAGAGGAAATCACTAGAAACTACAGTAATTATCGTATTTAGTCCGTCAAACATTGCGCAACTCGGAAAACCTGACAGAAATCCTCAACAAGATAATTGGCTTTCCGTCGGGTCCGTTTTCCGAATGTTTCCTTATCTCAAACTCCCATCTATGCCAAAAATTTACGAAGGATTTCAGAAAGGAACATGTTCTCTAACAATAATAATAACAGTAAAGTGGAGTTAGTGAAGTCGGAAAAAAATAACACATCTTCTCGAAAAAAACGGAAAGAGAAATACCTACGAAATTTCCTTGAAAAATATTATAAATAACATTAAAAAAATGCCACAAAAAAAGCTCTGAAAAACCAATTTATAGAATAAAAAAATGAATTCCCTAAAGACCGTTTTTTTCTCATTCTTATTAAGGGAATACTAGAGTGATCTTAATTTTTCTTCAAAAACTTGTTCAAAAACAATTTGAAATTCACCTCATTTTCCGAGCGGACAAAAAATAGTTTGAACATCCGAAAAAAAAACCCGAGGAAAAGTCGCAGATTCACCAATATAAAAATCCGCAACGAGCAAAAAATGACCTTGGCGAATCGTACAATAAACCGAGCTAAAAATGAAAAAATCCACGCCAAAATGAGACAAGCTGGACTTCAGCAAACACCAAAAATGACCAAACGAAAAAATTTGTTACTAATTCCGTTGGACGTTATTTGCTCTAAGCTACAGTACGATAGGGTCCAACTGAGCAAACGAGGCAAAAATCGCCGGGCAAAATTGCCGAGGAAATTCGCCCCATTGTTCTCCATTGAAATCTAGCTGTTTTCGGGATGGTGACGTCATGAATCGGATGATTTCGAATGACGTAAGGTATTCGTGAAAAATCAGATAAAAAAATGAGAGATCTATGCAGACTGAAGAGACGCCAGAGAAGCTGTCTCCCTCTGGTTTCTCTAGCGTCTCTTCAGACTTTAACTGATCTTTCGCTTTTCAAATATAATAGAACACAAATTTTTTGCTGTTTTCAAAGAGTAAAAGGCAAATTTAAAAAGAATCCGTATTCATTAATTATAACGGCCTTCATAAAGTTTGTGAGAAAAAAATTTCTGTTTTGAGCAACTTTGCTGTTTTGCAAAATTTTTGAATTTATAAAAAAACGGTTTTTTTTTTTGTTTGGAAGTTTTTTTTCTTGTAGTGAGTGAAATTCAGGAAAGAAAGCTCTAATATTCTTACTATATTCGGTCCATCAAAGGCTTTTTCGTCGATTTTTTGCCAAAAAAAAACTGAGGATCAAATAATGATCCAACAAAAAAATGAACCTTTTGATCTAATAACCATCGAAAAATCGGGAAAAATTTGGATGATTGACGGGGAAACAATCGTTTTTAGGGGAACAAAAGAGCCGCCAGCTGCGGCCGATTTGCCAACAAATCACAGGTGTTTTGACTGTTTTTCCGGATTCTATTCGTTTGGGACTCGATAATCAAGCGTAAATGGAGTTATGAATTTCCAAATTTTACAAAAATTTGGTGAAATATTTTTGAATTTTTCAACATTTTTAAAACGTATTTAATGAAAAAAGTTTCTTCTTTTAGAAACCACTTTAGGGGCTCGGAGGTCAGTTCCTAAACCCCTATAGGGAACACTCTTTCTTCCCCTAGAGGGCTGTTTTTTTTCCGCTAAACCCTATTCGAAAGAATCGAATAAGTGAAAAACAGTTAAAGACATTTTATTTTTTTCCACAGGCACCTTTTTTTCCGTATATTTTACAAATGTTCATAAAAAAGTGTTGGAAATCCGAAATTCGCCGCTTTTTGCACAAAAACCTGCCACTCCAACCGATTTACCTCAAAATTAATTGAAACGACCTGATTCCCAGCAAGGGCAAAATAGCCTAGGAAACAAATGAGTTCACTTCTTGTTGCTAAAACCGGAACAAGTCGGAACAGCGGGAGACCATAAGTCAGAGGGAAAACGGTTTGGCGCTTTCTATATGAAAAATTAGACTCTATGGGGGGTCCGGTTCATCTTAAGGCCAAGAGGATTACCACAGATTTTGAGGACATGAAAAGTGCGAAGTTAAACGAAAACTGTTGGAAAACGACTTGCTAGGGTTTTTAAAGGATTATAGACAAGTTTTATGAAAGTCTCGAAGCGAAGAGCCAATTTCTGATGGAATTGAGGTTTATCTGAGGCTTTTTCAAACAACCCAGTAAGGTTTTCTAAAAAGTTGAAACTATGAAAATTTTGACAGAAAAAATACTGGCTTCTAATTTAGACATTTTATTTATTTCCCTTTCTTCTTTTTTAGCCTACAGTTAAGACAAAAAAACTTTTTGCAAACGTTAAAATACGCAATTTACTTATAGTAATAAATTTCTTTGTTCTTAACACGTAAGAATCAACTTTTATTCCCGAAAAATTAAAATTCGAACCTGAAAATAAAATAAAATCCTTTTTTTATCTCCTTCTTAATCATAGGGGTTTTCGAAATTCTCTTTAAAAATTGATGAAAACGTCTTATTCATCGTGAACCTAACGAGTCAAACTGTATCTACTCAAAAGAAAATCAAAAAAATAAAAGTTTTTTTAAAACCTCACTAAAATTTTTGACAGCCACAACCTACGAACAAAACCCGTCACTACCTTCGAAATCGCTACTTCGATTGACGGACAATCCACTGAACACATTGATAAAAATTGAGAAATGGAAAAAGTTTTTTTATTTTTAAAAAAAATTTTTAAAAAAATTGAGAGTCAAAAAAACTTCATTTTTTTCCATAGAGCAGCTTTTACTGCAAACTCCGCGAAAATTCAAAAAAAGAATTTTTTTCCCGTTTGATTGTTTTTTTTTGTTTTTAAAACTTCACTTTTTCTCTCTTTGAAGTTTCTTCAAGATCAGTGTTAAATTGTGTAAAGTTTTTGAGATTTTTTCTCGCCTATACGCGGTTCAATTTTTTTTTTTCCTGCTTGTTGTTCGCTGGTTTCTGTTCTCATTGCTTTTTTGAGCGGATTGCAAAAATAATAATAATCTTTGTTAGGTCACGGAAAGAACCATGCTCCGTCAAGATAAATGCGCATCTTTTTTTCAACTGCAGAACTTCGATTTTTCTTGTGAAAGATGACGTCTGTTTCAGTTTTATTACGTAAGTTACTTGATCATTGTTTTTTGGAACTTGATATAGATTCAAAAATTACTGAAAAAAAAAAATTATTTACTATATTCCAATATTTTTCCGTCGGCAAAATTGTTGCCTCTTAACCCAATAAAATCCATCAAATGAGCTCGTTAGAAGAGCCGTGCCGACTACAGTAACCCTCATTTATATGGCAAAATATTGGCGGTTGAGCGCAGAAGAAAATTGAATATTCATGGAGTTCTTTGTTGGCGAATTGCGCAACACATTGATGACAACCGTGAAAAAGTCGTGAATTGACTGGAAATCGTCGGAAAAAGACTGTTTAGGGACTTTTTTTGGGCTTTCTGTGGACTTTTTGCCGCCTACTATGAAATTTTGTACATTTTGAAACTCTAAAACTCCAAAATGGTCTTTTAAACAATTTTTTTCCGTTTTTCTGGATTTCGACAAGATTTTTGAACATATGGAATGGATAAATAATCTATTTTTCTAATTTGAAGCTTAAAAATTTTATTTCCATCAATAAAACACATTTATTTTTCCAATCAGAACGACTTTTTAGCTGTTTCTTAGACAAAAAATTTTTTTCAAAAAGAATAAATCAAAAAAATAATCCTTCAATTAACCGAAATCCAGATGAAAAAAATCTCATTACGCTTTCCTCAAGCATCATTATCGCCTACCGTAATCCAATAAAATCCAATTTTCTTTTGCTTCAAATTGACGCCGAATGTTGTTTCATTCAATTTTGCCTACTGTAGGCAGATGTGGATGGAACTAAACTGAATTAAAGCCTCGAGTGTATGAATTTTGATGGAATTTAACGTTTTGATTGAGAGAAAGGGGGAAGTAGCGGAAAAGGGTCCCGAGGCGGATAAGTCACACCTTGCTCCTTCAATAAGCCGAAACGTATTCTTCTTCGGAAATCGATTTTCAACGGAACTGAGAACAGCAGAAGTGGGTCCTAGAGGGAGTTTGAGATTTAGTGGGTCCTATAGAGGTCCTTTAGTATACGGTATACCTTCGTATTCAGCTTTTCCTAAATAAAATTGCATAATTTCGCGCAAAATCATCGTAAACCCGACCATTTCGCGCCAAAGAATATAGCGCCACAGGTGTTCGCGTTTTTTTTCCCGCCAAAAAAGGAGGTTTTGGCGTGCCGCCAAGGCCAAACGTATTTATCAAACAGCCGGCGTCTTGTTCCTGGTAATCGACTTCTTTTTCGGTGAACCGGCCCCGAAAACCATTTATTATCCGTTTGATTACGTCAGAGATGACCGGCGGGAAAAAGGGACCAATAATTGAAAAAAATCGTGGTCTTTGGAGAGGAATACACTTTTTTCATAACTGTCAATGAATAATCGAGAAACTTTGGGCTTTCTGAAAACCTTGGGACTTTCGGTCTACTCAAGTCTGAACTTTTCCTCTTCTTCTAAAAATTTCTGAGAAGTTCAGGAGGTCAGGTATGGAGTTACGTCTGTTCTGAACTCCTTTTTTTATCCATTTTTTTGAATAAAATTCACAAGATTCAGGCCTTTTTTTGCATCTGTGAAATTGAACAAAGTTGGACAGAGATCTAAATTTTCAGTTTCATCATGCCCCTTTTAATGGGATTTTGCGAAATTCAAAGGAACTCTTCAAAAAGTTTATGACTTTATTCAAATTCTTGAATAATTTCTACCTTATCTGTATAGCCAAGATTAAACAAAACTTGATCAAATCAAAAAAAAAAGCCGAGAAAATGCAGAAGCGGGAACGTGGGATAACCTGGCCATTCCTCTTGACGACTTCCGTCGCGACACAACTTCGTTCCCCTTTCTTCACCAATGTCCACCAGAACCGCCTTACCTGCGGACCCGTCGTCGCAGACCGGCGCCCTCGACACGTCCAGTCTCAACCCTGCAGATCCTTCAACTCGTACCGCCGTTCTCGGCGAACCCCTTCCCGAGTCGGTCAACTCGATGGCTCCGACTCAGATCGATGGAGCCGACGTCAACGAGGTACACATTGAGCGTGAAATTTTTTTAAGATTTTCAACCAGGAAACTCACATTACAAATCTTTTTGTAAGCTAAAAATCTTTTCAAATGATAACCAAATGCGCGAAATTATAGATTCGAATTATGCTTTTGTAAAGTTTTGATTAGTTAACATGTGACCTAGCAACGTGGTGTAGCGGCTAGCAAGGTTGACTGCGAAGCATATGTTGAAGGTTCGACTCCGCATGACGCTAACTTTTTCGCCGAGCTTTTTAGAAAATTTGTCATGGCTTGACAAAAAGTGTTCCAAAGATGTCTGTCAGTCAAAAGAACTGCCCTTTTTTCAGCCGATCCGCAAGCTGCAGGCGTACCAAGGCGAGCTCCTCCAGCTCTCCGAGGGCATCCGTCAGCGACTGGCCACCATCCAGGAGACGGCTCCTCGTTATCTTCAAGACATTCAGACGCAGATTCAACCCAAAGCTGATGCTCTCATGGACGCCGTCAAGGACACGGTGTGACTTCTTGAAGGACATGGGCGCCTATGATGGAAATTCATGTTTTGAATCTAAATATCCACTTTTAACTATTTGAAACTTGCTGGTTGTCGAGAAAAATGGCCAAATAGTCGGTCAAAGACGATTTTTTCTTCGAAAAAGACATTGAACTAAATTAAAGACAACAATCCGCTTTGAGACCTTTCTTTTCTGCCTTTTCTAAGGAGTAAAAACCCTATAGAGGCCACCTAAATATTAATTCTCTAGAGATCAGTATTTTGTCCCATACAGGGGTTGTTTTTCCCTTCTAGGATCGACTCTGGCCTTCCTAAGTTTCATACTTTTGAAGTCTGTTATTTCAGTCTGAGGTTGAAATTCCCCGAGGCGTCGTCCTGAGGACGTTCAGCTTCGGCGCGGTGATGCTCGCCGCGGCGGCGTTTGGCAGCATCGCCAGCGGGTATCTGCTCGCCCCGGTCCTGTCCATCTTCCTCGGACGCTTCGCCGCCGGTCTGCTGGCTCTCGTCGCTGTCCCCATCTACAGTTATACCACCATCAAGAAGGTTTGTTTGACTGAAGAAGTTCTGATTCAGAAGGCTTTGAACCCTCGTTCGGCAGCATTCAGTTAGGGTGCGGATTTATGGATTGAAAAAGGGTTTTTTTTTGCGAACATAACTGAGGTCTAATAAATACCCTCGGTGATGTAAAACTTCAATCTCATTTATATATTACACGTTGAGAATATCTTGAAGATTTCTTCCTTTTGAATGATTTTGAAGAATTAACATTTTCCAGCTCCACGACGGCGGAGCAGCGCCTAACGAGCTGAACAACGCGCTGTTGTTGGTCAGCGCCGGCCATGGCGCCCTGGTCGGCTACGCGCTCAGCTACTCGTACGTCTACGCGTCGCCCCTGCTGCCACTGACCTCGCTGATCGTGTCGGTGGCCTTGCCCTTGGCCCTGCCCACCATCGGAAACCACCGTCCGTCGGTTCTGGCCGTCGGCCTCGGCGCTTCGCTTCTGGCGCATTTCCTGCTCGGCGCCGTCTTCGGACCCTTCAGCCTCGCCTACATCACCCTCGCCGGCCTCTACACGGCCGTCGCCGGCGTCGTCTTGCAGTTCATCATCAAGGTTTGACCGAAAAAAAAACTGTTTCTGGGCTCTTTCCAAAAATCATTTTTGACGAGGAAGGTCATTTAACTTTGCTGCTGGGAATGCCCTGAAAATTGGCCAGAATAACGTTTCAAAGCCCCGAATACCTCAGGGTTAAGAGTATGATCTAAAATCAGACTGAGAACGACTCTTCGCCCTCGAAACTTTGAAGCCGAAATTTTAGTTTGAAAGTTTCAAGTAGCTCATAACACAAAATTTCAGCATTTTTATAGGCGTTCGGAGCACTTTCAAATTCTGAATTATTCACAAAAAAATAAATAGTTTTGAGAAGAGGAAAATGAAAGCAAAAAATGAAGTTTATGATTCAGGAGCCGACGCTGCCCCTCTGGACGTACCAACTTGGTCTGGTTGGCGCCACCCTGGCCGTCAAATTGGCCTTCTTCGCCGTTTTCTCTTCGGATCATGCAGTTTCTCCATAGAATAAATGGTTTTTGATTAGAAATCAAGAAGAATAGGGAGATTTTCGAGCATTTTCATTTAAGGAACGTCGCTCGGCCCTAAATTCGTTTCGAAAAATTTTCAAAACCCAATGCTTCATTTTCTTGAATAATACTGGATCTTCGTTTATTTCAAAAACACCCAACAATACCGCCATTACTGTCATTTTGACCTGAAAAAGGTCGATTTGAAAGACCTGAAATTTTCCCCGGGCCAAAAAAAGCATTTCGGAACACTTTTCAAAACCAAATATCCTGGGGTCCTAAAAATACTCAATTTTTCGCTCATTCCAAAACACCCAACAAGCCAAATATTACTGTCATTTTGACCGGAAAAAATCGATTTCAGCTCTCGAAAACATGATTTTTGTAGAGACGGTAGAGAAATGAATATTCTCTTTTTCTCTGCCGTCTATTCAAACTGTCGATGCCTTCTACCTTCAAGTTTATTCAGTATTTTGATAAGACACAGATTGTTTTTAAAGTTTATTGACATCAGCAAAATTGGAAGACAGAACAGACGCCATCGGGGTCCAGTAGGTGTTCTAGGCTTCTGAGAATCTTCTGAACGCCGCTGACCACGTCTTCTTCGACGACTTGGCACAAGGTCTTGAGGAATTCAATGTTGGGTACTCGTTTGCAGGCGATCTGAGTTTTATTTATTGTTTTTATGTTTTTTTTGCAAAGTTTGACACGACTAGAATGGCCATTTTTCTGCGTGTACGACTTCGTCGGCTTGAAAAGAACTTAGAACGTCAGAGTTTTTCATATAGGCTCAGGCACCATTGGAGGTCCTCTCTAGGGACCAAATGACCTTCTTCTATAGGGGCCACAAAAACTTGAAGGAGTGCCTGCTATAGGGGATTTAGTTAGTGAGCCCTACAGGGGACATTTTTGTCGATAATTGTTAAATAAGAAAAATTTCCATGCGCAAAACCCCCCAAAAAAAGACCATTTGAGCTTCCGGAACTTTTTATGATTCAGACCCTAGGCTACCCAACTTTACCCCTACAGAACAATTTTTGTTATTTCTAGGAACTGTCTTTCCTCTAATCTCTGTAGGGACCACTCCGGCCTTTCTAGGGGCGACCGTTTCAAACCATTGCGACTGAAGTTTTTACAGGGTTACCTCGACAAGGTTGGTGATCTCGGTGCTGGTGAAAGCCTCGGCGTCGTTTATCGTATCTCGGACCAACGTCACCACTCGGCCGCACAGCGAACAAAGCAGGTTTGAAGCCTGAAATATCGCGTTTGGAATGGCTCAAAGCGTCGCGGTTTCTTAGCGGCATCCATCATTTACACTCTGATTATGTTAAGATATAGTCGGTTTTTGGTTCTTGAAGGGACGGGACATCTCTGCGCCCTCCTCGTCTCTCTTCGACCCTCTCATTTTTTCGTACTTTTTTCATTCTCTCTGACCTCGCCGGTGAGAAAACAGAGAGACCCAGATACTCGAAATTTTTCAAGGACGGACATTCTAGAAAAAAAAAACCAACCTCAAAACTTTGATGAACCAAAATTAAAAAAAGGAAGACGACCAACAATGCTTTGACCATTCTTGACGACTCGATTGATAATTGATAATCAGTCCATGTTATTGGCCATTATGTATGTTTTCAGGGCAACGTTGTTCATAAGTAAACATGATTTTTTTGACTCATAGCGGCTGGAATTTTAAATTTATGATGTGATTGGAAGTTGAAAAATATTTGATAAGTGTTTCGAAAGTCCATTTTTAAAGAGGTTCTGGGAGAAATATTTTGCGTCATAATTATTGACACATTTTCACTTTTCCTTTTGCAAAAAGGAAACGTTTATTTATGCAATTAGTATGCCAGTGTCCTTTTTTCATAACCCATAATAATGAGAGAAAATTGAATCAAGAGGAAAAATGTCCAAAGATCTATGGATTCTATTCATTTTGGACTTTTTCTCAAGACATTTTCATAGAGATTTTTTTCCTTCTGAAATATTTTGAAAAGTTTTGAAATTTTTTTCGATAATCATAGCTTATTAAATTGGTTTCAAAGACTTTTCAGTACATTTTCAGGACCACAAACTTTTTTTTTCTTCAGTTTTCACCTGTTCCAGCAGGCGTACTTATTTTTCAATTAAAAGTTTTCTAGAAAAAAATCCAGAACAAAGTACATTTATTGGATATTTTTTTCATTAATTTCACGACTTGGCTCGAAGTTTCGCGACTTTTTTTACTGAATAAAATCCAGGTGATCCAATTAATTTTATCATTTTCCAGCCCTATTTCAATTGAAAATTGATTTTTCGGAAATAACCAGAACGAAGTAAACAAAAAGTTAATATATTTTAATGAATCTAATGAAGAATTTGAACGAATGATTCCATAAATAAACCTTAGTTCGACTAAATTAGAAATAAGACGGTCATTTCTATAAGAAGTTACGAAAAACCCCGAGACATCCTGGTTTTCAGACTTTTTAAATCCGATTTGGCCCAGTTTATCCCGGAAATCTTTCCCTTTTTCACATCACAATTTTTTTAAAAAGTTTCTTCCGCTCTGAAAATCCTTATATTTCTAAAAAAAAGTAGCCTCAAACATCATTTGCCGATTTGTAATCTCTATTTCAGGACCCGACTTGAGGTGTAAAATGTAAATATTTGATAAACTCGAGATTTTTGGTTTTTTCCCTGATCCCTACGTTAAATGTTATCCATTTTGGATGAAGTTGTCGAGTCGAGATTTCTTTCGGGAATTTGTTATTTCTTGAGTTTCTAGTTTAGTTTTGACAAGTTACATAGAGAGAAGGAGTACAAATTTCGTTTTAAAAAAAAGTCCGGTGAAAAATTTCAAGCCAAAATGGAATTTTTAAACTTGCTGACTTCGGAATACCAGCGAGCGAGCCTTGGCTGTTTTTTCGCAAGTTTTTAAAGGCCATAACTTTTTGACAGTTCTTTTTAGAGGTTTCCGAGCATCGCATCGGGTTAGACTCGAAAAATGGTATCTTCTCTAGTCTTATCAAAAACGATATCTGTGCAAGCTCCCGAGAAACCTATTTTTTACTTTCATCAGGCCTTCTTGTCAATTTCTGAGCAAAGTTTTGAAATCAGCACGAAAACAGTCTCCTAGTGATTCCAGTCTCATCATAAACGATCATTTTGATCTGTGAACACCTCCTAAAAACCTTTCAACTTTCGCCGAATCATCAACCATTCCATCATGTATTCCAATCCAACAAAATTGTTCTCTCAAGTTTCACTGGCCCACAATTTTTTCCGCCGTTTCAACTGCCGGATGAGCTCGTTCGCACGGAGATTCCAACGTCTCGTGGCGTCAGGAAATTGAATTGGCGGAAGTTTTTTTTTTCTGGCCGAAAAAGGCTTCATCAAATTCCACTCGCCCAATTGCCGTTTCGTTTTTTTGTTTTTCGATCTTCCCGAGAAGAAAAAAACGCGCCAAAATGTTCTTTTCTAAACTGGTTAAAGCGGAGAAAATTGGTTTTTAGAGGGTGGCGGACTTTTTGGCTATTTTTATTTTTGGCTCCAGAAGAATTTTTTTAAATTAGAAAAAAAGGGAAGAAAAAAATTGTTGAGAATTGTCTTGACCCTGAACTTTTTTCTCCAATAAATTTCGAAATAAATAGGCCTTTTTCACTTTTTTTCATTTAAAAAAATTGATTTTAATAGTTGGAAATCAATCTTCAAAGTTTTTTTCAGCGAGTTTTTCATTCTGGAATTACTTTTTCAAGCTCTCGAATAATTTCTTTAACGAAATTCGATGCATTCCTGACCTCAAACAATATAAATCAGTTTTTAATGATATCTTCTCTCTTCAAATCAAATCAATCAAAATGTTTTATTTCTCACACACAAGTACTAAAACTCACGTAATAGATGTAGGGAGAATATGGGAAAATATGTGTTCGGAACTTTAAAAAAAAATTAAATTGATATATTTTTTCTAATTATTAATATCCAAAACAAAAATTTCTGGTAATAATGACTAGGAATTTTTCAAAAACAAACAAATTTTTCACGACTAACTGTCTTTTCTAGGCGTTCTTCCTGGTTGAAATTGAAAAAATGCGTGCTTTTCAAAAATTCATTCTCGATAATTGCCCCTGGAACTCTTTGTTTTCTTGGCCGCGACCAAGAAAAAAAAGAAAAAAAAAAGAACAGAGACTTTAATGAATGCTCATTGAGCCCGTAGGAAAAAAAACTTCATTTCGCTTTTGTTTCTTGGTTTTCCAATCAGTGACCACTTTTTCAAAGGTTTTGAATCCTGCAAGGATTTTTTTAATTACGTAAATTTTTAAAAGGAAACAAAAAAATTTGAGAAAAGGGTGGAATAAGAAAATAAAATGAAAAGAAAAAAAGGAAGAAAAATGTTTTTTTCGATTCAAAAATTTTTTTCGATTTTTCTTCGATTTTTTTGATGTGAGCGATAAATATTTTGCAGTGCTTCATGGATGACATAATCTCCAGAAAAAAATGTCTTTAAAAAAATTCCTTTTTTTATATACATTTATCAGAATGAAATCAACGAGTTTGCTTGATTTCATGATTTTTTTGCGAGTTGAAAAATTACCTAGTTCAAGGGGAAGAAACAAAATCAAGTTTTTCCGTGGCGATAATCAATAAATTTTTCGATTTTCAGTCGCAGCTCGTTTTTTTTTTCGTTTTCCTAAGCTTAAACGCGTCTTTTTTGTTCAGAGAAGTTATTTAACAGTCTTTCCAGTGTCAACTTATGTTTTTTGGAGTTTTTCTAAAGTTCGCAGGAATATAAATAACAAAAAAAAAAACCTTTTTCTCCTTTTCTTTTTTTGCCGACTTTTTGCTTATAAAAACCTTGTTTCTTCTGCTCCCAGTTTTTACGATTTTCAAGGCTTCTTTGAGGTCATCGAAAATTTTGTTTTGCAGCGCAGAGTTTTCAGAAAACCTACCTTGATTTCTTCTCTTCTTCTCGAAAAAGGGCAAAAGTCTGTAGTGTTCGAATTTTCAAAGCGTCATGGGCTTCATTACCATGTTAATTATTCAAATGGGTCCGTTTCCTCATTTTTCTCCTCATTTTTTTGAGTCACTTCCTGATGAAAAAAATTTTTTTCGAGGGGTTTATATTTTTTTGAGTTTAGGTTTTTTTCTTTTGTTAATATTTTGAGTTTGTTATTTTAAACCTGATCGATTTTTTTTTTCGGTTCAAGCTGTGACTTGAATGTTTAAGTATATTTTACGAGGCTCCCTGAGAAATTTCCTTATTTTTTAGCCACGTTTTATTAAATGGTAAGTAAAAATTTAGCCTTTTCAAGGACTTTTAAACTTTTTTTTGTCCAGTTCTCCATCGATTTTTATTTTCAGAACCGGTTTTCGTGATCAGAAGAGCCGGAAAAAATGGTCTTCCGAGTCAAAAAACTCCTTTTCCGTTGTTTGCTGAAAGTGACGGGGGAAGTTTTTGAAGAAGGAAAAAAGCTTATTTTCTCAGGCAGATGGAAAATTGAGTGGTGCTAGAAATAAGCCTAAACTTTACGCTTTTTCAAGTCACGTGGCCCAGTTTTCAGACGAAAAACCGAAAATTTTCTTCGGAGTGCAAAAATCGTTGGAAGATTGAACTCGGAACCTTTCTGACGAAAGCTGAGCAATTCATTGTCGCGAATTTTCTCAATTTTCTCAAAAACACTGTTATTCAAAGTTCATCAGTAGTGTCAACAAGTACTAACAGCAATAATAGTCCTTCTGGGGGTCTTGAACCGGTTCTTGACGTCTTGGCTCAGTCGGCAAGACCCTTGAATATCACGGCAAAAGTCGAAAGTTCAATCCCCCTCCTTGTCATTTTTTTTGCTCGAGGAGCCAATGATCAAAGCTTTTGAAAAAAAGGTTAATCTGTTTTCTTTTTCATTTCCTGCTTAGAAATTATGACGCGCTTGATATTTCTTGTAATAGACCGTGCCATCCCAAAATAATAAGCTCAATAGGACATTTTCCGTCGATTGAAGGCAATTTCAAGTATTTTTTTCAATCTGAAAATGTTTCTGAATTGAATTTTCTTCCTGCTCATAGTGTCCTTTTTGTGTGATAGAATGAAGAATTTCGTTTTTTTTTAGTTGAAAGTTTTCGTAGATGCAATAATTGTTGAGCTTTTTGGATAATATTTTGACTTTAAAAGTAAATATTTTAATATCACGATTTTTAAACAGTAAAAATTGGGAACCGCTTCGAAAATCAGGGAGAAAAGAGATCATAGAAAGGCGGAGCAAAATCTAGCTCCGCCCCTTTTTTGCCTTTTTCATTGAAAACATGTCTTTTCCAATGTTCTAAATCGTTAACTTGCCGATATTATTGCTGGTTTTTCGCCTTTTTTTTGTTGTTCCTTTCACTTACTAGCCATTTTTGATTCGATTGAAATGGTAAAAAAAAACTCAAATATTGGGTCTTTTTGAAATTTTTGAAATTGTTTGATAATTCAGAAGCCGCTCTATAGAGTTTGGTTAATATTTTAGTACTGAAAAGCGTGAGGAATCATTATTCCAAAATAATCCTTTATTTTCTTTTTCAACAGGCAAATTTATTGAAACTGTAAATGTTTCTTATCGAGAAATCAGAAATTTTGAGGCTTTTCAAATCATCTTATCAACACAAGTTTTGAATGAGGTAAGCTAAAAATTGAGTTTTTCTTTCTGAACTCTGCAAAAAAAGTTTAAAAGCTCATTTTTTTTTCCTGCGAAATCCCTTCAGGTAATCTTTATTCATCCGAATAGTACACACGCAACCTTCTTTTTAGTATGACTAATACTCAAAAAGAAATCCTTCTTTTCAAAAAGAAAAAAAGGAAAAAAATATATCCCTTCTCTATCGTTGTCATCAGAATTCCAATAGAATTCCTGAATATAATATGCAGCTTGTATTGAACCGCCAGCCAGGCACAAAAACCTGATAATTATTCGAAAATTGTCTTCCTCTTTCAATGAAAGTGAGAGAAATATTTGTTTTTGGGACGATTAAACTTGAAAAAAAGAGAAATTATTTGCGCAGTTGGTTGATGGTATTAAGCGTTGATTCTGCAACACTTTGGAGATTTTTTTGAGAAAAAAATAAATATTTACTGAAATTTTTATAGGAGTCATTTCGTTTTCTTTAAATTTTGCCCCCAAAAAATTTTAAGAAGAATATTAAATCGAAGAATGTGAAGCTTTGAGCGAAAGAGTATGCAAAATGAAAGGGTTGAAGAAATACGAGTTTTCTTCTATAAAAAGCTTAGATTGCACTGTACATATCCGTCACTGCGCGCTTCAAACTTTGGCTCAGCTGGTAGAGCCTTCCGCCTCCACTCCAGAGGTCGCTAGTTCGATTCCCCTTCTCGCCATATCTCTTCGCCTCATTATTGCCTTCACAAATTCAAACATTTTTCGTTTTCTTGCTCCATTTTTGTTCGAATAAACAATAAACAATCCGAAAAAAGCGAGGCTTCTCTTGTGAAAACAAGTCCAAATCACCCAATAGGGATTAGCCGGCTGGGAAAATAAAGAAAGAAGCGAAAAAAAGTTTCTTCGCACGTCTTCCTTAATCGGAAGGCGTTAAAAGCCCCACGTGAAACTGATTTCGTGACGCACTATTTTCGAAATTCAGTGACTTTTTGACGTATTTCATCAGTTCTAATGTTTGAATTTATATAAATGTTCGGCAAACTTGTGTGTAATGGGAAACGTAGCGAGATTTTGAATCATTTTGAGTTTTTTGCTCGTTTTTTTCTGTTTTTCCGAGGACTTTTGTAGTTGAATTCCGGGTTTTTTTTTTCTAAAAATAGACCGTGATTCAAAAAAACTTGAACTTTTTGATAATTTTTATTTTTTCTTTTTTTTAAATTGAAATTTTTTCCAATTTTTTTAAAAATTTTAACATTTTTTTGTTCACATTTGGAAAAAAATTCACTAGCTTCCAAAAAAATTTAAAAAGACACGATAATATTCGAATAATTCTTCTGCATTTCATGATGTCTTTTCCGAATTCTTCCTTTTTTTCAATAAAAAAATCCAGATTTATGCGTTATTTTTGTTGTTAAGACCGTCCGCATTTTTGAAAAGCCTTGTCTATTTTTTTAGGAAAAGTGTTTCAAAAATCGCGTTTTTCAGAAGTCCATCGTCAAATGGAGACAGTCTGGCTGGCATGGGTGTTCGTTGTGGTGATCGTCGTCGGTTGCCTGGGAAATCTTCTTTCTCTTTACGTTTTCAGCCGGCCCCATATGAGGACGGCTTCGGTTTGTTTTTTTCTCAGATTAATCTCGAAACCAGCCTATTTGATGGTGTAAGGAACTCTGTATGGGTTCTCTTTATGTCTAGAAATTTTCTCAATGTTTCTCAAGGATAAGTTCATCTCACAGGTTCAGTCTGTAAACTTATACTTTTGGAAAAGTTTTTCAACGGTTGTCCGAGTCTAATACTTTTACCGTACATGGGCAGACCATTTTTAAAGGCCGCCGCCTTTTCTTTTCTAAGTTTTCTTAAAATTTTCATTGCAACTTTGGAACGCCAGAGAGGTCCTTATAAGGTTCAAGGAAAACAGTTCCTATGAGGGTCAACAAATTGTCCAATATAGGGCTAAAATTTAGGTGGTCCCTTCAGGGTCTGACCTCTGAGACCTTTAAGCTCAAGTGGTCCCTATAGAGTTTTTTGATGATTTTTTAAGTTTGAAAATCAAAAGGCTTGATTAAATACAATTCTCTGTGGATAGTTTTCATTCAAATAACACGAACTTGCTGAGTTTGCGATCAGCATTAAGTGGCCCCTATAGGGAGAGGTAGCTCCTGACTTCTTAGCATTACCGTTTTCAGATCAGTGTATTTCTGTGCGCGTTATCATTCGTCGACTTGGTGTTGCTGATTTTAGCCGTTCCAACTTTCGTTGCTCCATATGAACAGTTTTGGTCAGCCGTCTTCATTTTAAAAATACATAATTGACGCTGAAAATTTCAGGGAGTACGGCCGACTAGACACACGGCGATCAACCTTCCTGGCGCACGTTTGGAAGTTCGTTTATCCGGTGAACTTGACGATGCAGACGTGCAGCGTCTACGTTATGGTCATGATCACTCTGGAGCGATGGACGGCCGTTTGTAGGCCTCTCCAGGTCCTGAATCGAGTTTCAGACGTCTTTTCTTAGTTACAACATCCAAAATCATCAGGGAAAGAAAAAATACGACAAGAGCAAGTTTTTCCAATTCCGAAGAGTACTGTATGAAAAAGCCCGCATTCTGAGGCGTGTACTTCGAGTGTTTACACTGTTGTTGCGGGACGTTTCCTATTCTTCCATCACTTACTAGGGAACGTTTTTTACACCCCAGTTGTACTTTTGCTGAAACTTTGCTGAAGTGTACTTTCGGACCATCTGATTCCAGAACAGAAAGAAAACTTCTCGCAATAGATCTTGTTTCCGAGTTAGGCCACTTCAGAAACCCGAAATAGCCCTTTTTTGGCCTAATTTGCGTATTTTGCACACTTTGAAGCTCTATAACTCGGAAACAAGATCTATTGCGAGAAGTTTTTTTCATTATTTTATCTGCAATCAGGAGGTCCGAAAGTAGACTTCAGCAAAGTTTCAGCAAAAGTTCAACCGGGGTAAAAAACGTTCCCTGGATTTTGTGTATTTTTCATGGTGGAGAGGAACCATCATACTATTCATCTTAAGCTCCTTAAAAATCCCGACTTGAAAATGTTCGACCTGTCTGCGCTCTCTTTTCTCTCACCAACACATGAAAACTGGATTCGCGGAAAATCGAAATTTTTTCAAGATCAGTCGATTATCGACGATTTTTTCAGGTCAGAGCCTGCTACACTCCTCGGAAATCGGCCTTCATCCTCTTGATAATTTTCACGTCAGCCTGCGCCTACAACTTCATCCGCTTCTTCGAATATCGGTTAAAGTACGTTTCCGATCGAGAATATGGTTGAATTTGGCTGGAAAATCTCATTAACATAATGAAAAGGGATGTAAGAAAATGAAAATTTCAATTATTTTGTTCGAAATGACTTCACAGAGAGTTTTAAATTTTACAAAAAGATATGAATCACTAGAAAGTGTGTAGACCTTTTTTAGTAGTTGTTTTCTTGCTCTCTATTTGAAAATGTTTCCTCATCCTGTTGGAAAAGGCAGGCTCGATTCTTTGCGAAGCCATCAAGCGCAAGTCGTTTTTGGTCGGGCGAAGCGTTGCGACCATAGGCTTGATGATTATAGCAAATCTTAGAGACAGAAATATTCGAATTTTGAAGGTCTTACCAGGGAATGGTCTCCGGTCGCAGTGGGACCCCCGAATGAGACCAAGTTTTCTAGATGTAGTTTTTCACGCTGAGCTCAAATCTGGTCTCAAAAACTGCCGAGGAGATCTGTGAAAAAAGTTATGGACCCTCAAAAGTCGAAAATTTCAGTGTTTCGGATTGAGCTCATTTTTAAAGGGTCTATAGATCTTGCCCTTCTGGTCACGAAAAACTAACAATTTTTTTTCAAAAAAATTTCGGAGCCAAGATATGACCTTTCAAAGCCTCCCCCCACTCAAAAGAATGCGCGCGCGGTGTCCTATTGCGATCCGGCGACCGTCGAAGCAACGGCAGCGAGGAGCAGTAGAAAGGCGGCGGACTGGGGAGCACGAGGTCATAGGTTCGGCGCCCACTCTGTGCAAACTTTTTTTGCAGTTTTTTCTCTTTTCTATGATTTTGTGTAAGTGCTCTTTTTGTGAGTTTTGAGGCGTATAAACATGAAAATTCTTCGTTTTTTTAGCCTACTCGAACTTCTAGAATTATTTTCGTCAAAATTTTTTTTTTTCATTTTTCTGTTCCTAAAAGATTTATAAGTTTAAATAGTCATAGATACGCCGACATATCCCACAGAAAAAAATTTTTCCTGGCTTTTTTAGAGCTCACCGTTCAACCACGGCTCATGAGAAAAAAAAAATAAACCCGCATTTTTTCAACTTTTTGCTGAAACTTTCAAAGAAATCTCTTCTGATTGATACATACCACAATTGGGTTCGAAATCCCAAAATAATTCGTTCTAATGGAATTTGTGAAAGTTCACAGTCCAGACAGACTTTTTCGAGAGGAACTTTCGAAGAAAGAAAAGAAACTTTTATTCAACAATAAATTTTGTTTTTGCGCGTTCTCATTTTTTCTACTTCGGAAAAATCGCGCAAAAAAAAACTTTTTCAGGCATAAGGTGATGATCATAGGTCAAATCACTGCAACTCTCAAAGAATTTTTTTGGAAGAGAAAAAAATTCTGTGGTTTTTTTCTCGGTGTATCAATGAATAATTGGACTAAAAAAACTTTAAAAATAAAATTTAAAAAAAGAACCAAAAAAATTTTTTTGAAAATTTTTCCTCACACCTATGCTCATGTACATAAAGAATAACGAAAAATTCTATGAAAAATTCTTTGAGAAAAAAAAGTCCAGGTGTTTGAATAGGTTCAAAACGGCGAACTTTCACAATGTTACGCTTCAAAACTCGAAAAAGAGCACTTACGCAAAAATTTTCTCACTCCAACCCATGCTCATACACATGAAAAATCTCGAAAAATTCGATGAAAAAAAATTTTGACGAAAATAATTCTAGAAGTTCGAGTAGGCTAAAAACGAAGAATTTTCATGTTTATACGCCTCAAAACTCACAAAAAGAGCACTTACACAAAATCATAGAAAAGAGAAAAAACTGCAAAAAAAGTTTGCACAGAGTGGGCGCCGAACCTATGACCTCGTGCTCCCCAGTCCGCCGCCTTTCTACTGCTCCTCGCTGCCGTTGCTTCGACGGTCGCCGGATCGCAATAGGACACCGCGCGCGCATTCTTTTGAGTGGGGGGAGGCTTGGAAAGGTCATATCTTGGCTCCGAAATTTTTTTGAAAAAAAACTGTTAGTTTTTCGTGACCAGAAGGGCAAGATCTATAGACCCTTTAAAAATGAGCTCAATCCGAAACACTGAAATTTTCGACATTTGAGGGTCCATAACTTTTTTCACAGATCTCCTCGGCAGTTTTTGAGACCAGATTTGAGCTCAGCGTGAAAAACTACATCTAGAAAACTTGGTCTCATTCGGGGGTCCCACTGCGACCGGAGACCATTCCCTGGTTAGGAGTACTGAAGGGGTCGCTCTAGGTGTTATGGGAAAAGCAGCCCCTATAGGGGACAAACAGGTGCTTCTTCTCATGGAGCTCTTATCAACAACGGAGTAGTATGCTCCCCCATAGGGTCTTTAGAAGAGAACCTTCGAAAAGTCTTAGATTGTCTCATAAGGAATACTCTGGCGTTTCAAAAGTCATATCGATTCAGACACACGAAAAATTTTGCCTACGTCACGACGTGGCTACGCGACTCTGAGAAGTATTGGTGAGTTATTCAACGCGTCTAGTATTAGCAAAAATGAGAAGTTTTGATTTTAATTGTGTAACTTATCTTTTTTTTTGGTGAATTCTCATTTTCTTTTGATTTATGTTGGGCTTCATTATTACTTTTTTTTTGCAGGCGTTTTAGAATCTGAATTTAAAACTTGATAAAAAAAATATCAAAACCATTCAAAAATTTAGATTTTTCCCGGTCTTGTGGTAATAGCCGAATCACGGCTGACTTGATTCATTGAAAAATGGGTCCTGACATGATAAAAAAAAAGAGATAGTGCTTGGTTGGTGGAGAGTGTAGACAGGCCACGCCTCTTTGCGTCCCATTGAAATTTTCCAGTTTTACAGTCTCCAGAAACGATTTTGAGATTGGAATTCGATTTCATTTTTTTTTTTGAAAAAATTTCAAAATTAAAGATCTCACTTTCAAGAAAGCTTGTCTTTTTTTGTGATTTTTTATCGATTTTAGGAAAAATTATGTAATTTTGCAGGTGGTACTACGTTGGTTACTACACAGTCCTCTACAATTTGACCCATTTTCTGATCCCATTTTCCATAATTGCCGTGGCAAATGTCCAAATTATCGTTGTACTGTATCGGAGCAGTCAAACGAGACACAAACTCACGGGACAGGTTTTGTTTTCTATACTATAAATCGATTTTTCCACAAAATGGCTATTTCGAATCAGTTCATAGGGGATTTAGCCAGTTAAACATGGATTTACGCCAGAGTGGTCCCTAGAGAGGTTAGAGGAAAACAGCCCCTATAGGGGACGAATTAGTGCTCCCTAGAGGGTTGAAGTTTAGGTCAATAAAGGTTTTGACCCTAAAGCCCCTAAAGCTCGAGTGGTTCCTATAAAGGTTTACAATTTGACCCTCAAGCCCCTCAAGCTCAAGTGGTCTTTTAACTTCTTTTTTATTGTTTGAAAGATAAAAAGGCTTTTGAATATACGTATTGGGACTACTAGTTCGCTCCCTTAAAGTTGCCACTTCTTTAGAGCCCCCTATAGTGAAATGCAAGGTGTTCACCATAAAGGGCCTTTCAAGTACACTTCCTGAAAGAAAAAAACAGTTTATGGATGTTTTGAAGAGACTTTTTCGAATTTTCCAGCAACAACGGGAGCACTCGACAACGTTAATGTTGCTCTGTGTGACGATGGTCTTCGTTTCTTGTAATACCCTTCCGTTCATACTCAATATCGTGGAAGGCGTCTTTCCCAACGTTTTTGTGTCAAGTGGCGAGGTTGGTGAGCTTGGAGCAGCGGCTAAGAGTTTTGGTTAGAGTAGGCAGTACCTTGGATCGGATCCTCTTGGGAATTTTTTGTTTTTTCGATAGTTTTTCAAGTGAAATTGATCTTGAGCTCTGATATAAGGAAGGGTTATACCGTTTTCTAAGTGAGCCCCGTGAAGTGCAAAATTATTTCTGTCTCTAAAAAATTTAGTTATTTTTCTTTTTCTGACGGCTATTTTAACTTTTTGCAAAATTAATTTGTACACGGAAAAAGGTTTTTTTCAAATAACAATTTTTTTCAAAACCAATCTCAATTTCATTTTAACAACCTCAATAAAATTTTGTAAATGAAGTAGTGGCCAAGGGCTTCGAATAAGGCCCAAGAAGTCTTTGGATCAGATCCCCTGAGGTTTTTCATTACTTTATGTAATAACTTCTTCTTCTTCTTCTACTTTATGTAATAACTCTTATACACAATTCTAGATGACTTCAATGTTCGTCTACGGATACGTATAGTCAATCCATCCCGATTTGAAAGGCGAGGCAGGCGGAGAAGGGGTCGAGACGCGTAGCGTGTGCGTACGCGTTTCTTGGCACGAGTTCAATTCAACTGCCATTACTTGAAAAGCTCGCTCACCGCTCTTTTTGTATCTATTCTACTATTTTCAAAGCACAAATGAAAAAAAAACGAAAAAGAATTTTAAAAAAAGAGCGATAAACAAGCTCGTCATATAGTCGATGTCGGTTGAATTGGACTCGTGCCAAGAGCCGCGTACGCGTCTTTTCCCTTTCTCCGCCTCCCTCGCTTTTTTTAAGTCGGAAAAACATTGACTATATTTACTACTTTTTACCGTTGATTAACTTGGAGTGATGGTTAAGAGCTTTGTTCTAGGGTGTAGAGGTCCTTGGATCGAATCCTTTGTTTTTTTTGGTCATTTTCTGCAAAACCGGTGATCTTCCTACCATAATAGTTCCATCAGCTAAAATGAAAATATTAGTTTTTCAGGACGACATCCTCATCGCCAACACGATGATCGACATTTCCAATTTATTAGTCGTTCTGAATTCAACTTCGACTTTTGTCATCTACCTTTTTTTCTCCAGAAAGTACTGTCAGACCGTCACCGGCCTGTTCAAGTTCGGTTTTAGATTTCTTTTTTCGAATTTCGAGATTTGTCTTGATTTTTTCAAAATTATTCGGAATAAGATTCAGTTAAAAGTATTTCAATTTCTCTTGATTTTTTGTTGAAATTCCGTGGCCGCAGTTAAAATGGCTCTGTTTGAGGATGAAAAAAATATTTAACACAGTGTATGTATTTACTGAAAAAAAGTTTTTCCATAATTCAATTTTTTCATTACTAGAGCTAAATTTTTTTGATCCTTTTTGAACTGAATTTCCATTAGAAATAGTTTTGAAATTGAAATTTTTTTATTTCTATACAAGGAACTACTTTCATTGAGAATATAGATTATTTTATTTATTTTTTTGAAATTTCAGCCTGAAGCAACAACGGCCGCTACGATACTCCTTCATGACATGATTATTACTTTTTACCAGTCTCTTAATTTTTTTATATGTTTTTTTTTTTTAGCAAGTTTCTGTGTGCTGAGGTGTCACTTAAAGGTAATTAAAATGTGAAAATTGAAAAAAAAAAAACTGAGAAAACTTCGAAACTTGGAAAATAACCGGGAAACCAGTTTTCATATTGAAGTTATTTTTCCTGAGGCTCGGATCGTTTATGAGCATTTCTAGGGACCGAAGCACGGTGTTCCCAAACGGGGTGGGGAGACGTCAAAAAAAAAGTTTGGCGCGAAATTTCAAATCTCGAATAAGTAGCCGAAGGCGATCGAACAAACAAGTTATTAACGTTTGATACTCAGTGCATTTTATCCGGAGCGCGCACTTACTTTTTTTTTGTTAATTCAGAAACTTTGACGCCTCGCTCACCTTCCCTCACCCCATTAGGAATGCCGTGCAAAGAGCATCCGGTTTTTCTTTCCTAGGCCCGAGGGTACTTCTGAAGATTTTTCTTGAGACAATTCCTTTAAGTGACCTTTTGTTTCTTGTTGTGCAATTATCATTTCTTTGAAACGTGTATAATTTTCCGTTACCAATAAATTTCTATCGCTTTATTCATTCATGAATGTAAATATTCCCAATTTTCACCGAACAAAATAATAAAATTTTCAATTTTGACATTTTCCGAGTATTTCAATTGCCGATAGCATTTGTGGGCTCAGGCTTGAGCCCGTATTTCTTCCTGAAATTCTGAAATTAACTTCTTTTTCCTCGTTGGAATCACCTTCGAACAACGCCAACAACGTATCACGAGCCGATGCGCAGTCAATAACGTGATTATTTTTCAGGTTTTTGAAATCGAAATCGTCGTTTTCGGTGCTTTCCACACTGGCCAAGTCCTCATTGTTGCCTTGCGGTTGGTTTTGATTTCTGAAAATGTCTGATCGCACTCGGAATGACTCTTAGCCGTTTTGGGTCGGGCGCATTTGTTTTATTTTCAAGTTAATTCATCACTAAACACGCTCGAAAAGAGACGGAGCTAGCAAACTCAAAAATGCGTCTTAGGGTGTTTTTTATTTTTTTCAATCAGTTTTAGGTGAGGCCGATCTTTTGATACTCAAAACTCTTGACAAAGCACAAGACGAAAATTTAAATATTGATAATAAACTCAAAAATTATCATTCACAAATATAAAAAGATCCATAAAACTTTGAAATTTGTTTTTTTAACGATGTTTTCACTGAATTTCTAGTTCTTGGTGAATAGAGAACGTGATCTATTTCACAAAAACTTTCGACCGCGTAAACCGGTTCTGGTCGGTACATCAGAAGAAACGAACCTTCTTGGCTGATTATCAACATCTTCTGGGCTCTCGACACTGTCAATGTTGGATTGAATCGCGTTTTGGTTCTGATAGTTCTGAAACTCATTAATTTTCCATAATTCGTTTCAAAAATCTTTGCTCGATTTTTTAAAAAAACACGCGTTGACTTCAAAAAGGTCTCGAGACGAAGAGACGTTTTTTTTGCCATTTTTTGAGGTTATTCGATAATTTTCTACATTTTCGATTTGAAAAAAATACGCTTTTTTAGAGAAAAAAAATATGATTAACTGACCTGCAATCTAACGGAAGCTTGCTGTGTTAAGGAGCACATCAGGAGAACGAGAAGAAGTTTTTTGAACATTGCCAATAAATAGAATTTTCGAAATTTTCCAGTTTCGAGACCGCTTTTTGTTTGAGAAACTAGGAATATTTAGTCTCAAAATAGTCCTTTTTCTGACGTTTCATCCGGATTATTTTGAGGTTTGATAGGTTTTTGGTTTATTTTTCTATTTCTAGCATTATGAATCTGTTATATGTTTTTATAAGTTATGAGTTTATGGGTATTAGTCGTAGTGCGCTGTAGTGCGCTAACACGTTCGTAATCTCATTCTCGAGCTTGTCAGCCAAAAATGTCTTTTTATTGAGAAAAAATTTACTTCAGAGAAGAGTCCTATGAAATTAAAAACTGATTTCGAGGCCAAGCCCTTTTTCAAAACACAAAATTGTTCATCAGTGAAAGAAAAAACTGGAAAAAATTCATTAAATAGCCGGTCCAGTGGGGTCTTTCGTATAGAAATAGCTTCCATAACTGGCGTAGCCAAGAGTCGCCGTCCAGGTGTAGGTATTGTTGTTCTGCGCGTACTGAGAGGCGTCCGTGTTGTCAACGGCGATAAAATGCAGACCAGTTCCCTAGAAATTGAGGACTTTTAACACGCTGTCTCCGTAATTCTCAAAAAGAGTGGGTACAATAGAAAAAATATGTTTTGATTTCGATGAAACTTCACCCACTTTGATAGTCTGTCATCAGGAATGCCGACGCAAGTTTTCAGACCGATTCCTCCTACCGTAGCTAGGTTACGGTAGGCAGGTGCGTCTTTTCGTATGTAAGAATCTACGCGTTCTTTCTAGGCGTATTGTATATCAATCGATAGGAATTGCAATTTTAGGAACTTTTTCAGTACATACCATCATGGGTTACTGTAGAAATTTTTTGAGTTACGGTAATTTTTGTGTCTGCGATTTTTGGTTTTTTTCCGTCACTCTGTGTGTTCGGGGAGAGACCACGGCTGGTAACTTTCCTGAAACATTCTTCTCAGCAATACCTACGAAGAAATACCACTTTGAAATGGATCTGTCCCTACCGGTCATTTCGAAAAATCGCTTCGAAGAGGCTCAACTTGGCATTTCTCGGGGAAAATCGCCCGCGGTTAGAGATTTCTACCTCTCTTTTCTCGTCAGATCCGGTGCTAAAGTTTGTTTCATTTGTTAGTGCAGGGTTGTACTTCATAGATGATAATGTTCCCTCCGACTTTCAGCCTACCCTTCTAACATAAAATTCAGTTTGAAGCCGATTTTGGCCTAAAAACAACGATTCTCAGATTTCAACGTTTTTTTCTGAGCTCAGTCCTACTGAGGCTGGGCTCCAAAGTGTCTTTCATTACTTTTACATGTTCCATGAGCTATTTGATCAAGAAAAAACTGTGTTTGAGCCTACCCGTCTAGCTCAAAATTCAATTTGAAGCCTATTTTGGCCTAAAAACAACGATTCTCAGATTTCAACGTTTTTTTCTGAGCTCAGTCCTACTGAGGCTGGGCTACAAAGTGTCTTTTATTACTTTTACATGTTACATGATTTGTTTGATCAGGAAAAAAACTGTGTTTGAGCCTACCCGTCTAGCTCAAAATTCAATTTGAAGCCTATTTTGGCCTAAAAACAACGATTCTCAGATTTCAACGTTTTTTTCTGAGCTCAGTCCTACTGAGGCTGGGCTCCAAAGTGTCTTTCATTACTTTTACATGTTCCATGATTTGTTTGATCAGGAAAAAAACTGTGTTTGAGCCTACCCGTCTAGCTCTTAATTCAACTTGAAGCCGAGTCTGGCTTAGAAACAGTGGTTTTTCGATATTATATCACTCTTCTGGAGAAATTATTGATAGATAAAAATCTGTCTCTTAAAAATTTGAATTTTTGCTTTAGATTGAAATAATCCAAATTGAACCTGTTTTTCGAGCGCTTTTCGACTTTGAAGATTTTGACGAGAAAATAAATATTTTCATGAACTTCTCTGTTCTCGAAACATACCATTCACAAAATTTGGAATACGTTCTAGTATCAAGGCGCTGAGAAACTCTTTTATGAATTCGTTCACCAGGGATTCAAGCAAGAATAGGCCAAACATTGTCTTCAAACTGAATTTTGAGCTTGACGGGTAGGCTCAAACACAGTTTTTTCCTGATCAAACAAATCATGTAACATGTAAAAGTAATAAAAGACACTTTGTAGCCCAGCCTCAGTAGGACTGAGCTCAGAAAAAAACGTTGAAATCTGAGAATCGTTGTTTTTAGGCCAAAATAGGCTTCAAATTGAATTTTGAGCTAGACGGGTAGGCTCAAACACAGTTTTTTCTTGATCAAATAGCTCATGGAACATGTAAAAGTAATGAAAGACACTTTGGAGCCCAGCCTCAGTAGGACTGAGCTCAGAAAAAAAACGTTGAAATCTGAGAATCGTTGTTTTTTTAGGCCAAAAATCGGCTTCAAACTGAATTTTTATGTTAGAAGGGTAGGCTGAAAGTCGGAGGGAACATTATCATCTATGAAGTACAACCCTGCACTAACAAATGAAACAAACTTTAGCACCGGATCTGACGAGAAAAGAGAGGTAGAAATCTCTAACCGCGGGCGATTTTCCCCGAGAAATGCCAAGTTGAGCCTCTTCGAAGCGATTTTTCGAAATGACCGGTAGGACAGATCCATTTCAAAGTGGTATTTCTTCGTAGGTATTGCTGAGAAGAATGTTTCAGGAAAGTTACCAGCCGTGGTCTCTCCCCGAACACACAGAGTGACGGAAAAACCAAAATCGCAGACACAAAAATTACCGTAACTCAAAAAATTTCTACAGTAACCCATGATGGTATGTACTGAAAAAGTTCCTAAAATTGCAATTCCTATCGATTGATATACAATACGCCTAGAAAGAACGCGTAGATTCTTACATACGAAAAGACGCACCTGCCTACCGTAACCTAGCTACGGTAGGAGGAATCGGTCTGAAAACTTGCGTCGGCATTCCTGATGACAGACTATCAAAGTGGGTGAAGTTTAATCGAAATCAAAACATATTTTTTCTATTGTACCCACTCTTTTTGAAAACTTTTGAAAATTACAGAGACAGCGTGTTAAGGACCTCAAAAGGGTCTCAATAAGGATTTAAGGGGCCTCTAGTGCAAGCTTTAGTGGCTCTTACAGGGGTTCGTATAGTAGTTCCTCAAGGGCTAACATAAAGTCTCCTTATAAGGATCACTATTTAGTTTCTAAGAAACATGATGTGACGGCTAAGTGCGAGTGCGAAGCGGTCGCGATGCGTTTTTGGCGCCAACCCAAATTTTCGGATTTTTCTTAAGTTTCCTGTAGACTAAATTTGATAACTCACAACACAAGGAAACGCCTTTAATATTTTTTAGGATTCCTCAAGATGTACGAAATACTTCTTCATGAAGTCTATCCGACACTTCCGGCGTTCTCATAGAAATTCCATAATTTTTTAATTTCTGCCAAAACGCATCGCGACCGCTACGCACACATCCTGCATAATTCCAAAGAGGGGATTTCTCTTACAGTTTGTTGATATTCAAACACGGGCGCCGTGTATCCGACGCAGTCTTTGGCCTTGTTCTGGTCTTTGAAGAGGTAGCCGCTTTTACGGACTATCTGTAATTCAACCTGACATTTTAGCTTGGAGTAGTGGATAAGCGTCTGAAATGAGACCCATGAGGCTTTTGGAACGGATCCTATTGGACTTTTTTTTTCATTTTTACTTATGACTGAAAACTATCATACATCACTAATATTTGTTTACGGATACTCATTCTTAATGTTTTTCGTTTGTCAGCTTGGAGCAGCGGTTAAGAATTTAGAATGACACGAAAGAGGTCTTTGGATAGGATCCTCTTGGGCTTTTTTGATTTTCGCAACAGCTTCAAAGTAAAAGTTGAGGACTTTTATACAGCGGCCGCAGGTAGAACGGCCCCCAAATTGGCGGGAAAAAACTCACATTTTCTACGGGCATCAATGGGAAGCTGTTGAGGTTTCGAATTCGATAAACCCCTGGAATCCAAGAAAGTTATCATTCCTTAAAATATCGTTAAAAATAAACTCAACCATTAAAGTCTTTGTTGTAAGTCTCATGTAGAAGGACCAATGGACCACAAATGGGCTCCAATTGACTGATATCTACAGTTGGTTGGATCAGAGAATATTGAGACTTGACGAAATCATCCAACACGAAGCCTGGAATTGAATATTTCTAGAACTTGAACAACAAATTATGATAGTTTTATTTTTCCCTTTGGTTTTCTGTGTTCCTTTCCATTCTTAGAGACTTTTACAGTTCAGTATTCGAAAAAAAAAATGATTCAAAATTTTTTATTTATTTTCATTTTCATTTTCCAGTGACCTGAGAGACGCAGACACTCGAAAACTGTCACGTCGCGGCAAAAGGACTTTAAGATCTAATTTTTCATTAATTTACCCGAGACTTTCATGGAAGTCGGGTCAGTTGTGTAGGCTGGAAGGGCGTTGGCCTTGAAAACTCTTCGGATCGGATTCATCGGTACCGGAATGTGGCCCTGAAAAATTATTCATTAGTCAATTCATTTTTTTTTCTTGTGTGGTCAATCTTACATAGACGACGCTGTTTTGAGGTGCGCCCCACGGTCCTTCACTGAAAAAAAAATGATTAGTTAAAATTTTTCAAGTATTGATTCTGAAATCCAACTAAATAGTGAGATAAATTTTGAACCGCTGTGTCATATCTTATAATGCTTTCTTTTCTATTTACTTTTTTTAAACTCAATCCTCGATTCTTATTCTTACCTTATCATCTTTCAATACTGGGTCAGAGGCTCGTGAGGGCCTCAAGTGCCTTTTATCTAGAGACCGCAGAGCCACGCTCCTTTTTGCGATGGTGAAATGCACTGGTTTTTTAGATTTCGTGTTTGATGTTTTCGTAAAAGCACAATACTGGACCAAACACAGAGAAAATTAGTGGAAACATAGAGAAAACCTTCCTCTTCAATCTCATATACTTTTCACCCGATTTTCGAAGCGTTTTAGCGGAGTGTCGTACGAAAAACCAAAACTACTTTTTTTCTTCAGGTTTTTAACCTTGTTCCATGTCGTTGGCGCCTTTTTTTATTTTCGAATTCGATTTTTAAGTGAAAAAAACAAATCTTTTTAAGACAAAAAAATTAAAATTTTTTTACGGTGCCTAATCTTCGTGAGGCCGCGCAAAGTTGAAAAATTTTTGTACTCGGTTTCGAGAGCGTGTAAGTAAAAAAATTTTTTTATTTTTAACTTGTGGTTTAAATTATAACTAAAACTTTATTAGTATAAAACTTATAAATAGATAAAAAGTTTTTATCTATTTATTTCAGGCTTTTTATGCCAATTCTCCCCTTCTTTCTTTTTTTACATTTTTATTTCGTTTGGCCTGTAAATAAATTATATTAAAATAAAAAAACTAAAAATAAACCGCGAAAAAAAAACTGAATTTTCGACATTTTTCGCTTTTTACTCGAGTTTCAACACCTTCAAGGTCCTGAAAACTATCTTTTTTTTTCGACGGCTAACTTTGGCATAGCGAACCAAAAACTTGTTTCAAATTGAATCCAGGGGAGTCTAAACTACGTTTCCAGAAATGTTCAGAGCTCTTTAGTACAAGAGTAAAAGAGTGAAGAACAAACTGACAGAGTAACGGTGTCCTGATTCTTGTAGAGGTAGCCAAGTACACGTGTCGGCCGGAACTCTTCATACATTCGGTCGACACGCAAAGCGTGCATGTCTTCTATGTTGGTCACATATAGGTACTCTGCAAAAAGTAGTACGTTATGTGTAACTTTTGTAAGAAGTTTCGAAATTCGAAACACTTACTTCTGACTTTTTTTTGTTCACACATAACTTCTAATTTTTCCAAAGAAGGTCTCATATAATTTCTCTGTTCGAAAAACCACACAAAGTTCAATTCAGTTTTTTCGTTGTTATTAATGAATTCTCCTTACTGGAAAAATCCGTTTTTGATGAAAAGTTGACAAAATTCTTAGAAAAAGCAGTTTAAAGGACGATTTCTAATTTTTTGCTCAATTTTCGTATATCTTTTTAATTTTTTCTCTATTCTCGTTGACTCAAGTGTTACTGTTTATAAATATATAATATATTAGTTCAGCGCTTTTAAAATCCTATACCGAAGTTGATAGGAAATTCTGTAGAACTTACGGTGTTCTGGTTATTTTTTGTTTGCTTTTTTCTGTCTCTAAAATAACTCACGATTTTTAATTGAGGAGAAGAATTCGACCAAAGGTGCATTGGTGGATTTGCAGTAGCCGGGCCAACTTCCAGCGAAGCCGATAAAAACGGCTTTCGGATTCTGTGGGACTTCAGCGCCAGTTATCAGCCGGGTCACGTCTTGAAAATTCATGAGGTTCATTTTTTTGAAAAATTAAATTTGTTTGAAATGTGAATAGACAAAAAAATATAAGAAAAAAATTATTGAAAAAAATATTTCAATATTTTTTTAAGTAAGTACTAAAAAGAACTTTCTAATTCTAACTATAAATTGGAAATATTTTTTTGAGAAAAGTCCTGTTGGGTCCAATCTTTGTCATTTCTTCAATCTTTCGAACAATAATTTTCATTTTTTTAATGAAAAACTTCTGAAGGAAAATAAATTTACAATTGGTAACACTTCTGATTTTTTTGTTCTAGTTCAGCTCCTTTGTGAAGAATTTCGGTCCTTAACCAATATATTATAACTGACTAGGGAACTACTGGGGCTCGGGTAGGCGTATCCATTTGTAACTAAGATGGCTCATAGACTTGGGTAAACAAGAGAGATTATCTGCTAAATTACATAGGCTCCTGAGAAGAGCTCCTCGAAGAAATCGAGAAAGAGTTCTCTACGCGCCTGGACCTTCCTCTCTCATTGAGGTGGGCTGGCGCAGTGGTTAGAGGGCCAGTCTCATGATTGACTTTTTTGAGTAGGTTCGACTCCTGTCAAGTGCAATTCTTTTTGAATTTTTCTTGAAAACAAAGTTCTTTGTACAAGTACGAAATTCGAGAAGATTTTAAAGTTTCATTAATATAGTTTCTTATATGCAGGAAAATTGTTCTCTGGATGTACTGAAATCGACTTTTATCTACCCGTGCAATTTTTTCTGAGAGTCATCTGAACCAAGAGAAATTATTATTCATCAATTTCATGGCCTTTAAAAAGTTGTCTGTCCTTGAGGAAAATGAGAAAAAAAAAGAAGATATGCACTTGACAGGAATCGAACCTTGCTTCGAAGAGCTTCTTCCCAAATCTATGAGCCACCGTAGTTACAAATGGATACGCCTACTTGAGCCTGATTTTGATTAGTTCCCTAGTGAGTGAAAATGATTCAAAAAAAAAAGACGGGGGTTACGGTAAATATTTTTCATTCGCGTTTTTTACTTCTCCTCACACTACCAACTGTTCACAGCGAAACCTTTTTTTGCTTTGTCATACTAATCGATTGGAGACCTCATGATGTTTTTGATCCAGCTTCCTTTGATTAGATATATGCTTCAAATTTCAAGACCTCCATTCGTAACGCTGTAAATCTTGACGAGATCCGGGCAAACGTTGAGAACAGTCTCAGTGGGCGCAATCATGCCCCAACGAGCATCGGTCATCCTTTTGGGGAACCCGGGGACGTCTGAATTTTTTTTTGAGTTGATGCGCAGCCAATTCGCTCCGTATCACTTTCCACACACTTGTCGCCAGTGAAATAAGTTTGTGCGCCGGTGGAAGGATTCTGATAGACTTGGAACGTGGTCAATTTGACAGTTGGAGGCGTGGATTCGGCTTTCTGAGATTGATCAGTTTATTAAAGGGCATTGGAAACTCACAACTTATAATTAATAATTTAACACTCAGAAAAATGAGGCAAAACTACAGAAAAACGAGAAATAGTAATAATTATTTTTCAAAAAAACAGCCAGTGGACGAGAAAAACTTGGAAATTTCTTATAGTGACAGTCAGCTCCCAGCCTTATCCGGTCAGCTGGTATTGCCTTTTTTCTGCAGTTTCGAGGCAGTATGACACAAAAAATTGTTTGAAAATGATAAAAGTCAGCCAATAGACGTGTAGTAAGGTAGAGCGAACATTTTAAGGTTGAGAAGTTTTATTTGAAAATGCGAAACGAATTTTGAAGTAATGGAAGCGCTAAAATTAAAAAAAGGAGAATGAGTCTAATTTTTTAAAAACCGTTTTTTTTCACAAAATCACGATCTTACCGATTGAACATCCGGCCCACAGTCCTCAGCGCTCTGAAATAAATAAAATCTTCGATTTTTTTATCGGTTTTTTTCTTAAAGAATAGAAGAAGCTTTCAAATAAGAGCATTAATCAAAAAATATGTTCAGAACCTTTAAGAAAGCTTTTTAAAATAAAGTGATTTCAAAAAAAAAACTCACAGCTAAAACTAGAATGAACGCGGAAAAAGTCCAAAGACGTCGCATAGCTGGAATGAAAAATCGTCCTTTTCCACAATTTCTATGCTTTTATGCACAGAGATTTATAGGCTTTTCGTGGAGTTATTACAAGAAACTTTTCACATAGTTTCATGTGCGCTTTCTTTTTTTTTTTTTATTTCCTGGTTTCGCAGCGGCATGACTTTTTCAATATTTTTTAAATCTCATTCGCCTTAGAATTTATTTCAAAACAGCCTCATAACCAATTTGGTAAAATCCACAGAGGGAATACATTTTTCGATTATATTCCAATTATGGAACTGCTTCAAACTAGCTTTTCAGTGCTGGAGTGAATCCAAACAGAATTGATTTACATTTTTTGATTTAATTTTTCGACAGTCTCTTCGGCGTGTTCAGGCGGGCTCTCATTTTTTGAACTTCTTTAGCTCGGTCATCATCATTATTTAGATGATATTCTAACTAGGGAATGGTCTCCATTCGCAGTGGGACTTCTGAATGAGACTAGGTTCACTAGATGTAGTTTTTCACGCTGATTTCAAATCTGGTCTCAAAAACTGCCCTCGAGACCTGTGAAAAAAGTTAGGGGCTCTCAAAGTCGAAAAATTTGATGTCTCCGATTGAGCTCATTTTTGGAGGGTATATAGATCTTGTCCCTCTGGTCACGAAAAACCATCGAATTTTTCTCAAAAAAATTTCGGAGCCCAGATATGAACTTTCAAAGCCCCGCCTAACACAAGAGCATGCGAGCGCGGTGTCCTATCGCGATCCGACGGCTGTCGAAGCAACGGCAGCGAGGAGCAGTGGTAAGGCGGCGGACTGGGGATCACGAGGTCATAGGTTCAGTGCCCACGCTGTGCAAACTTTTTTTGCAATTTCTCCTTTTTTTGGATACTTTCGTCTAACTGCTCCTTTTTTTGAGTTTTTGAGGCGTATAAACACGAAAAAAAACTGCGTTTTTGAACCTATTCCAACCGCTGAAATTCTTTTTTTGTCGCAAATTTTTTTCATGAAATTTTTCCGTGATTTTTCCATGTGTATGAGCATGAGTGTCAAAATTTTCAGAAAAAATTTTTTGGTTTTTTTTTTTCTTTTTCCAAAAGCTGTCTGAACCGAATTCATCAGAGCTACGCTGACCGACCACAGAAAAAAAATTTTTTTCTTTAAAAACCCTTCGTTATTTGCAGTGGGCTCACCTATGACCATCGCATTTTGCCGAAAAAAAAAAAAAATTCCCGCGATTTGCCCCAAATGGAAAAAGATTGAAAATGTCCAAAAAAACTTATATCTCAAAGAAACTTTATTTTTTTATTTCCAATTTCTTTTTTTATTTGGGATCTTTTGACTCGCCGAAGTCTGACTATAACCTTTTAAAATTTTCATTGAACGGAAGTTTTTAGTGAGGTTTTTTCCTATTAATTTTATTCACGGATCAAAGGAAGCCTCCTTGAAAGTTTCAGCAAAAACCTGAATTAAATTTGGGTGATTTTTTTTTCTCGTGAAGAGGTAAGTGAGCACCGCAGTCTGAAAAAAATCATTGAAAAATTTCCGCATCATCTATCCGCGTAGCTGTGATGAATTCGGTTCAGACAGCTTTTGGAAAAAGAAAAAAAAAACCAAAAAATTTTTTCTGAAAATTTTGACACTCCAACTCATGCTCATACACATGGAAAATCACGGAAAATTTCATGAAAAAAATTTGCGACAAAAAGAATTTCAGCGGTTGGAATAGGTTCAAAACGCAGTTTTTTCGTGTTTATACGCCTCAAAACTCAAAAAAGGAGCAGTTAGACGAAAGTATCCAAAAAAGGAGAAATTGCAAAAAAAGTTTGCACAGCGTGGGCACTGAACCTATGACCTCGTGATCCCCAGTCCGCCGCCTTACCACTGCTCCTCGCTGCCGTTGCTTCGACAGCCGTCGGATCGCGATAGGACACCGCGCTCGCATGCTCTTGTGTTAGGCGGGGCTTTGAAAGTTCATATCTGGGCTCCGAAATTTTTTTGAGAAAAATTCGATGGTTTTTCGTGACCAGAGGGACAAGATCTATATACGCTCCAAAAAGGAGCTCAATCGGAGACATCAAATTTTTCGAATTTGAGAGCCCCTAACTTTTTTCACAGGTCTCGAGGGCTGTTTTTGAGACCAGATTTGAAATCAGCGTAAAAAACTACATCTAGTGAACCTAGTCTCATTCAGAAGTCCCACTGCGAATGGAGACCATTCCCTAGTAAGTATGAAATCGATCTTTTGATCTTTTTCTATCATAAAAAGAAGCTCGAAGCCGCCTCGGTTCAATACGAGTCAGGACTTTTATGTACGAAAATTGGGGAAACTGCGTTGAAATAACGTAACAGACAGATTCCAATACGGTTCATAGAAAATTTATGGAAATGTATTTTTTGTTGCTAAGGATAGGTCATATTTTCGGTTTGAAATATTAATTTCATTTATTCAACAAACAAATAATAAGGAAATGATATCATTCAGCCTTTTTCACGTAGACGAAAGTTCCATAGCTGGCGTAGCCAATGAAGCCCTGATAATCGTAAGTATTGATATTCCCCGAGTACTGTCGAGCGCCGATAAGACCCACGGCAATGAAGAATTTGCTGGTTCCCTGAAACAATCGGTTTAAAAAATGAGTCAAACTGAGAAAAACCTTCTCTTGGTACTCGTAAAGCGGAGCTATTACACCGGCGCAACGATAAGCCTTCAAGGGATCCAAGAAAACGTATCCGCTTTTCCGGACAATCTGAATAATTTTATTGAAAAATGAAGAACTAAGCGGCGCGTCTTAGCGCAACAGGTCGTGATCATGTCTACTGTTTGAAAGGTACCGTTCGATCCCCGCCGCGATCTAAATAAGGGGTTCAAGAAATTTTGGCAGTAAAGAACCACGAATTCATGATTCTAAGTCGTCTCACACAAGTACGGATATGTCACTAGAGTCAGTACACGGATAAGCACAATCAGGATGTCTCATCGACCTGACGCTCAAGCGGTACAAAAGCATAAGAAGAAAATAAAGAAGCGTAAAGAGCTCAAGAAATTTGCCTGTTCTCCAGGCTGAAGAAGCTTGTTTTTGAGGTCCCGGATGCGATAGGCCCCTTAAACTTGTATATTTTCAGGTTTGATAACGAGAAAACCTGTAGTTTCAACATAAGTCTCATGTAAGAGAATGAGATCTCCACAGTGACGCTGAATAGTGTTGACATCGGACTCTGGTTGAATGAGGGAGTAGTTCAAATTGACGGTTGCGTCCAATTTGAAGCCTGAATACCGAAAAGTAGCCAATGTAACCGGCTTTGCACAGCCGATGATATCTTATTAATCCTTGACGGAACCACTTACCCAGGTCGTGAATAGCTCTAGGTGCGGTTGAAAATCCAGCAACGCCATTATCCTTGAAAACTTTTCGGATAGCGTCCAAATACACTGGGATTGTGTCCTGAATTTATGAGATTCTTAAAGAATCCTTTTTTATTGAGGGAACTTTAAGTTTCAACTCACATAGACGTAGCTGTCTTGTGGCTCGCCCCATGGTTTTTGCCTGGAAATGAGCTGAGCGTATAGATTTGGAAATTCGTTCGTAAAGTTAACTAATGGGTCGCTTATCTGCACTCCTGGCTCTTTGACAAGATTTTTAAGTTACCTATCCTTTGGTGTATTTCAAAATGAACTAACAAGGTGATTCTTGGCGCAACACTATACATATATCCGAGAACTCTAGTCGGTCTGTACTGCTCATTCATCCAGTCGAGGCGATACTTGGCCAAATCTTCATTGGTCGTGTAGGCGTACTCTGGAACTTTCTAAAGAGTACGCAACAGCGCCGCTTCCATAAATTCCCAGTGCACTCTAGCTCAAGAAAAATAGTGAACCTTGTTTGAATGGAGAGTACAGCTCGACGAGCGATCCTCCCGAAGACTTACAGTAGCCAGGCCAATGAGCGACAAAGCCAGCGGCCACGGCTCCAGGGTATCTGCGAACTTCGGCTTCCGGCACCAGACGAGAGGCTCCTGTTTTTACGCTTTTTGAAGCATAATCTTTTGAGCGTTTTCGTTCGAATAATCTACACACCTTTGTCGATGACACTGAAGATCTTGATGAGAGCCGGACAAATCTTATCGAGACCCTTTGCCCTCGGCGAAATGAAGCCCCATCTCGGATCGGTTGCCCTTCGGACGTAGCCCGGGAAAACTGAATTTTTCAAGAGTTGATGCGCAGATAAATTTCTCCGTATCACATTTGGCGTACTCTTCGTCGGTGTAGTAGACTCTGGCTCCAGTTTCCGGGTTCTCGTAGATTTGCAGCATTTCCAGACGCACCTCTAGAGCGTTCTGAGAATGACAGTCAATTATACTCTTTTTTTGGGGTCAGATTTCGACGACTTTCTCAACCCACATTTTCTGGACCTTCAGAGCTTTCGGGTCGGTGAGCATCCTCAAATAGTTACTCACCATTTCAAGTTCTCAAAACGAAACTTACAATGGCGAATATCGCGCAAGTGAAAAAGACATAAAGTCGTTTCATCGCCGTGGAGAAAAAGCTGATTTTTTGGTCTTCATGGCCCTTTTATACATGGCAATTGCAAAGCTTTGAAAAAAAGTTGTAAAAAATGCGCTGGCGTTTATTTTTACATCATTTTTTGATTCTTTAATGCGTTCTTGCCCACTTTAATGTCTTTTTGGAACGTAGAAAATAGGATTGTAGTTCTTGAAGCTTCCTTGTTTCAGCAACAAAGTCACGGAAATGATTTATTCAATACTGCGAATCTGATGATTTTATTCGGCCTTTTTAATGTAGACAAAAGTTCCGTAGCTGGCGTAGCCAATGAAGCCTGTGTAATCGAAAACTTTGGGATTTCCGGTGTATTGTCGAGCGCCGAGAGTTCCTACTGCTATGAAGAATCGGCTGGTTCCCTAGAGTTGTCATTGAAAAACAAACAATTCTTTGAACAAGAAACCTTTTCTTGGTACTCGTAAAGTGGATTCACAATTTCGGCGCAGCGTTCCGCTTTGACTGGATCAAGGAAGGTGTAGCCACTTTTGCGGACAACCTGAAGTTCTGCATCAGAATTTCGGAAAAATCAGAAAGCCCACCTGCTCTCCAGGCAGAAGTGGCGAGTTTTTAAGGTCCCGAATACGATATGCTCCTTCGAATAGTCATTTTTAAAGGATCCGGGAACAAAAGCACCTGTTTTTGAGTTATAAGTCTCGTGTAAGGTGACGAATTCTCCGCAGTGGCGCTTCAAAGAGTTGACATCGGTTTCTGGTTGGATCAAGGAGTAGTTGAAGGTCACAGTTTCGTCCAATTTGAACCCTAAAGATAGAGAATTACAGTTTGAGGTTTCGAATCTACCTAGGTCGTGAATGGATCTAGGTGCGGTAGAATATCCAGCTACGCCATTGTTCTTGAAAACTCTTCGAATAGCGTCCAAATTAACGGGGATCGTGTCCTGAATAAGACTTAACGGTTGTTTCTACTCAATTTAACGAATAACAGTAGAACCTTTGATGTGGGGCTGGGAAGTGAAAGTTAGTCAAACACTCCTTTTGAAAAATTAGTTACATGTAGCTTGGTAATGGCTTGGAAGGCAAAAATATGGAGCAAACAAATTAAATAATTTTTTTCCTATCATGTCAAGACCATTTTTGATAGCCCAAGACACATTTGAATAGGCTACAAACTCCCGTTCATAAAACAACCGGAAAATCTTCCGCTGAAAACTTTGAACTCACGTAGACGTAGCTGTCTTTTGGCTCGCCCCAAGGTTTCTTTCTGGAAAAAAGCGATATTTATTCAATGTTTTTGTAACTAACAAGGTGACTCTCGACGCGACACTGTACATATATCCGAGAACTCTGATCGGTCTGTACTGCTGATTCATCCAGTCGACGCGGTACTTGGCCAAATCTTCGTTGGTCGTGTAGGCGTATTCTGTATAGTTGATGAATGAAATAAATATCAAACGCAGCGCGACCGCGCCGCTTCCATAAATTCCCAGTGCACTCTAGCTCAAGAAAAATAGTGAACCTTGTTTGAATGGAGAGTACAGCTCGACGAGCGATCCTCCCGAAGACTTACAGTAGCCAGGCCAATGAGCGACAAAGCCAGCGGCCACGGCTCCAGGGTATCTGCGAACTTCGGCTTCCGGCACCAGACGAGAGGCTCCTGTTTTTACGCTTTTTGAAGCATAATCTTTTGAGCGTTTTCGTTCGAATAATCTACACACCTTTGTCGATGACACTGAAGATCTTGATGAGAGCCGGACAAATCTTATCGAGACCCTTTGCCCTCGGCGAAATGAAGCCCCATCTCGGATCGGTTGCCCTTCGGACGTAGCCCGGGAAAACTGAATTTTTCAAGAATTGATGCGCAGATAAATTGCTCCGTATCACATTTGGCGTATTCTTCGTCGGTGTAGTAGACTCTGGCTCCAGTTTCCGGGTTCTCGTAGATTTGCAGCATTTCCAGCCGGACTACTGGCGCGCTCTGAGGAAATGATTCAAGCCTGTTTTTTTAAGTCTCATCTTGACAGTAGTCTCTAGACCAGTGATAAAAATAAAAGGTTAATCAGTGGAGCCGAATTAAGCATTGATTTCTAAATAGGTTTTTTCGAACTCACGATCTCTGGCCCCTCATCGGTTTGGTTCCCGTCTCTGTGCGCATTCTATAATGTGTCCAAATTCCCGATAGTTGTAATGAACAAAACTTACAGTAGCGAAAATTGCGCAAACGAAAAAGACATAAAGTCGTATCATTGCCGGAGGCAAAAACTGGTTCTTTTGTTTTAGCCGCTCTTTTATACATCAAAATCGTGAAGCATTAAAAAAAGGTTGTAAAAAAATGAGCTGGCTGATTTTTACAACATTTTTTGATGTTTTTTTTTGTATGTTTTTAGACGATTTTATTGTTTAAAAAAATGGGTTTTGGGAGCAAAGATTTTTTAAAGATCTGGATTCTTTTCATTTTAGACGTAGTTTTTCGATATTGCTCATCTCTTGAAGAAACATTTTATCAACAGGATCAAGATATAGTCAATGTTTCCCGAATTGAAAGTCGAGCGAGCGAAGGGGCGGTACGCGTAGCGTGTGCGTACGCGGTTCTTGGCACGAGTTCAATTCAACCGCTATCGACTCTTTGAAGAGCTCGTTTTTCGCTCTTTTCATTCCTTTTTCAATTATTTATTGATTATGTTTATGTGTGCATCAAAAAATAGTAGAACATATAAAGAAAGAGCGGTGACAGAGCTTTTTGAATAGTCGGTGCGCTTGAATTGGACTCGTGCCGAGGACCGCGTACGCACACGCTACGCGTCACGCACCCTGCAACATGTCAGTTTTTCACAAAGTTTTGTTTAAGTGAAAATCTTAGAAGCTACTCGAGTGCCCGCTAAAAAATTTGATTTTTCAAGATCCGTGAATTTCTGCTACCATATCTACCACAATCAAGTCAAGAAGAAGAAGTTCGGAACTTTTCAACAAAGGTCGAACTTTGCAGATGTGAGCTCTCCGAGTGCTTCTCTTGAATTGAGCACTAAGGACGGCTACTCAATTGTTACTAAAAAAATTCTCAATTTTTGAGAATTTATCACCTTTTCCTACCATCTACGGCAAAAGCGGTCAGATAAGTAATCTCTGTCGATGTCTTTTATAGTTAATTTTTTTTTTCATTTAGATGGCCACTGTAAATTTACCAACTTCAGAAGTTTGATACAGCTTTTTGTTCTCTCGGGCTTATTCAAAGCTTTTCAAGCATCTACAATTTGTTCCCGCTGAACTTAACACTTCTGAAGAAGATTCCTATGCCTCTAACTTATAGAAAATGTCAACTGTACCGCATCTGGCCCGCGAGAAAGACAAGCAAGACAAGATAAAAAGTCTTTGACGAGGTCTCACTTAAATGAATTCACTCAAGGCTACTCGAGTGCCTACTCCGAAACTTCCTTGTTCAAAATAACCATGGTCAAAGCTTTTCGACTTGTTCTAACTAAAGCGATCCCTTCTGAAGACAGAAGTCTTTGACGAGAACTCACTTAAGTGAATTCTCTTGAACGCTGCTCCAGTTCTTACGGGAAAACTACCTATTTCAAGATAGCCAAGGTCAAATTTTTCTGATTTGTTTCCACTGAATTTAACTTCTCATCTGCTTCTAATTCGAGGAAATTTGAACTTTTCCTGCCATCCGCACCGCAATTAAGTCGTTCCGCTCGGACAACGTAGCGCAAGAAGGTACACTTATGATTTGTCGGCGGAAAAGAGGGGTTGTGGCGTAAGTCGAACCCCCGAGAGATGATAGTTGATTGTCTTTGGGCGAGAGGCGCAAGACGGACTGGCCCACGCGACACGACCTGTGGCCCGCTTTTCTCTCTCTCCACTCACTCATCGTTTTCCGACGCCACTCGTCCTCCTAAAGTCGCACGTTGTAACCGCGACGGCGCGACGAAATTCGCACATCCGTGTGGATATGACGAATTGCGGCGGCGGCAGCGTCGCTTTCGTGCTCCTCTTCGGGATTCTGAAGACGTTGGCGACGGCGGCGACGACCAGAGAGACTCCACAAGGATGCATCGTCAACCAGACGCACGTCCTCTGCGAACACTCCCCTCGCGACGCCCTGCCCTTGAGACAGGTCTCTTTTATTATTTGATCTCCTAGTTTATGATCATTTGTGACTAATTGATTGATTGGTAGTGCAATTCAAAGATTACTACTTCCAAAATGGGAAAACCTGAGAACGAAATTCTTCCGTCTCTCAAAATCTGATTTAGTCGCGAAAATATCACTTGAGTAAGCCAAGTAACTATCTAAAGAAAGCTGCTTATTCTCCTGAGAAAGTTGAGAATGTTGAAGTTTTTAATAATTCTGATTTCCTATTTAGAAAGTTGCTAATATTCCACTCAACTTGTACAAAGTCTTCCAAAAAGTACTCAGCAATTATTATGTCAAGTTTTATTATTTCTCAAAAAATTGAATTTTCGCAAACCTAGACGGGAAACTTTCCTGGGAGGTTTAAAGGCACATAACATAGACTTTTATTGAGGTCTCGACGCGAAGAACCTTTTCATTGTTATTTTGAGTCATTCAAGGTTTCTGCACCTTCAAATTACTAGAAAAAACTCTAGTAGACACTTAAGAGGTTTCTCAAGGTCTACTTTTAGAGGAGACTAAAGTGGCCATTAAAAAGCCTCTGTGGAAGCTAATATTTTCCTTTTTAGTGGCCGTTACTGTAGTTTTTAATGGTCTAGGAGTACCACTTTAAGTCCTTAAAGACCCCTTAAATATGAGTCATTTAAGTGACTACTATTTCGACTCCTATAGTGGCCACTAAGAAGTCCAAAACCCAGAGTAGCCAACTTTCCCAGTCCCCAGTTGGAAAAAAGTTAATTTTTTCTCTTCGGTCTTTTAAACTTTTTCATGATTTTCTTCAACTATTCAACTATTTTTCAGTTGAGAGACGCCCGTAGCCTGAGGAACGTCCACTCGATCATTGTCCACAACGCTTTCATCGACTTCACTTCCGACATTTTCAATTTCGGTCGGTTTCTTTTCAATATTCTGCTCATTCTGTTTGTCCTTCTCATTATACCTTGCTTCCTGGCTCTTTTCTATTTGTTCTTTACGCCCAAAAATGCTCCGTTTCGCACCGAATGGGTGCCGCGGGAGCCTGACAGCAAAAAGTTGTAACGTCAATCTCCAATGTTTTTTATTGAACACTTGCAGGCCATCACTCACAACTCGGTGTGTAATGGGCCATTATTTATTGAGGCTTTGGGACTTCATCATTGGTTGTAGGCTTTCGTACTTGTATTTGTAGAAAATAAAAAACAATCGCTTTGAAATTGAGACTTTTTGAAACAAAAAATGTGCGTCTCTCTTTTTTTATCGACTTTCCAATGATAATTGAATATTTAAAATAGACTGGCTCTAATTTATTATAAGAGTTATCTAAAAACGAAACGAGTTAAAAAAAAAACAAGAAATGAACGTTAAAGTTTGATTTGAAATTATTTTGAATATTTCACTTTTCTTGGGATTAATGTGGCAAAAATTTTTCTGATTTTAGTCCGGCTAAACTTCCTTTCAATTTTTTTTAGAAACCTGAAATCTCTGACAAGGGAGGTCGTTTTATTCTGCGGCTGGGGGATTTCCTGAGAGTTGGCCAAAAATTCCTCGACGTACCAAAAATGTCTTGAAATCCTGCGCAACTTCTTATTTCTTGAGAAATGAGGGCTCAAAATACCCTATATCCACGGATTTTGAAAGTTTTCTTTGAATTTGAGATGCCCTTTCTTACAAGCTAGAAATTTTGTCACGTTGAGGCTTTCACTATCTTTTGTTTCTTTTGCAACTAATGCCCAGCCGCAAAGTAAAGCGACCTTCTTTTTTGAGAATTTTTAACTTTCTTTTGAACTTTTCGCAAGGACTATTGTATCAACTCCATTATTTTTTAGTCTACTCTTTAAGGTGGACTAATTCCCGTTACTGGTTATTCTACTTCTCTCTTATTCTGAACTATTTTTGATTATTATTTTTCTAACAGTATGCAGTGAATAAACCTATTATTATCATTATTTTTGAATTAATTTCGGATTTTAAGAGGATTCGCTGCCCAGCGTGAGTCTTCTCGATGCCAAGTCCAACAAGGTCGACCGGATCGGCCGGCGAGGCTTCGACAAACTTCACAACGTCGAATTCCTCTACTTATCACACAATCAAATCACGCACGTCCAACACGATCCGTTCCTCTCTCTGCAAAAGTATGAATTTTCGCATTTTTAGTGGAAAAAACGACAAAAATAGAATTCGACCAAACAAATTCAAAAAATTAAAAGGAGGGAAGAGTTAGATTCGACCTTCAAACTGTTTATTCGAATTTGGCTTTTTTACAATTAAAAAAAAATCGTTTTCTACCCTTTCACGGGAAGAGTCCGTCCGCCGTGATTAGAAAGCCCTTGAGTACCTGCGTCTCTCTGTTCTCTCACTCGCTAGATCAGAGAAACACGAAAATAGCACATCAACGAGAGAGGGTTACCGAGAGACGAGGAGAGCGCAAAGAACTCCGGTCCTTTCAAATAATCATAAATAAGTCGCGACGAACGGACTATATGAACCGAAAGTCGCTCCAAGGCTATTTGTTACCGTAATCAAGCTTTCAGACTGCAACTCCTGGAGATGAACGAAGCGTTCGGCGACATCGACGCTTCGGCCAAGGAATCCGCCTTGACGACGTTGTTCAGCTCCCAGAACTCCTTCAAAAACCTCATCGACATCCAGCTCAACAATAACAATATTCAGCTCATCGACAAGGACACTTTCTGCAATGTTGGTCTATATTTTCAAAAAATTGAGGGGAAAATGTTAGAGGACGGTTAGATTGATAATATAGCCGATACGAATATTTTGCAAGTCGTTATGAAGTCGGGTGCAGATATAACTAACCGAAAACGTTGAGCCATTCCTCGTGCGACCAATAACATTCCATTTGAAGAGGACCCATTATACTTTTGTAATATTTGAAGGAAATTTTTTTATGAAACAGAAAAAAGTTTTTTCGTTTTCAAATTTACGCAGAAGATTTGACTAAAATAGCGCTACAAACTTTAAAAAAAAATTTTTTTCTCATTTTTTTAAAAAAAGCTTTTTTTGGGGTGTTTTTTTCAGTAAATATGTACTGAATTGAATTTAAAATGTACTTTTCCAGGTGAAAGGCCTCAAAAGACTGGAATTGTCGGAAAACGAAATTGAAAATTTCGACTTTGTCAGTGCATGTCTTTCGGCCTTGGAAGCTCTTGACGTTTCCGGGAACAAAATTACGACGGTTGGTTTTTTGAGTCCAGGGAAACTATGAGTTTAGTTAGGTTTTCAGTATCGAATTTGATTCAAAAAGACTTTTTATTTTATGAAATTATGTTGGGAATATGATATTCTTAAGAACTTGAGGGCCGAAAGTTGGAAAAAAATAACTTTTTAGAGAGTTTTCTCTCGAAGAGCTCCTGTAAGCTAACGAAAGTTATTCAAACAAGACCTTTTTTTCATTTTTGTCATCAATTCAATTTTTGTCACTTTATTGAATGGAAAAGGAAAAGCTGTCAATGAAAAACCGATAAATGGAAAAATGAAACTTTACAATTCAACATCCAATTTTCTCATTTTATAATAGTCCAAATCATTTCGCAGGTCAGTGACGAGGTCTGGGAGTCGCTTCCATCTTTGTCTTCTTTGGATGTTTCTGGAAACCCGCTTCATTGTGATTGCCAGCTCGTCAAACTGGCCAAGGATGAGAAAATCCGATTTCTGAATCAGGTCGGTTTTCGCAAAAAAACTCAGTAACAATTTAGAAATTTTGCTTGAGAAAGTTCTTAATAATTTTGAAATTTTGTGTTTTTTTGCTTTTTGAATGATCTCATAAAAAAAATAAAGATTTGTACTGGAAACCCCTTTTTTTCCCCCTTTTTATTTTTTTATCTGTGCAAAAAAAGTGAAAGAATGGTTTTGAAAGAGAAATGATTGGCATGAAAGCCTGAAATAAATAAATAAAAAGGCGAAAATATATATAATTTTTTTCAGGGAAAAAAACGTTTTTGCGCAACTCCTGCTAAATATGCTAACAAGAGCGTTTTCGACATCGGCGACGAGATTTGCACGACTTCTGGAGGCAGTTCTTTCGTCCACTTTCTGTTCTTGACAATTATCGCTGCTTGTGGTGAGTTTCATGAAAAAATGTATCAATCGAAAAATGTTTCTTGTTAGAAAAAGAATTTTCCTAACGAGGAGGTAAATTCAAATAGATTTAGACACAATGAGAATCTCTTTTAAATCTTGAGTCTTTAATAATAATAATTTATTCATCCACAAGGCGAAAAGAATAAATAAATTAGAACCGGTTTAAGGTCACCCTCACGAGTGACTTCACCGGATAGGAAATACAATAGATATCACAGTTGATAAAATACACGTATAAGCATATTGAGATTTTTGAGATCATAGTAGCCGTCTCTTTAAATAAAATGAGGAAAACTTGAATTTGACGGCTTGAAACTCTAATTTCTGATTTCTGAAAAAAAAAGAGAACTGTCTTTTTTTTTAGAGCTTTTATTCTCAATTAGGAGGTAAATTCAGAAGAAGCACCCTGATAAATCCGTTTTGAATCTAGGATTTTCGAGAAAAAAAAAGTTGATTGAAAATTTCAAGCTTTGAGAGCTTAGAAGTCTAAGTTGTAATTTCGAAAAAAAGTTTAATTTTTTTCAGAATTTTTTTAATTAACTCAAGCTTATGGGATGCATTTTGGAAATAACTTTTAAATATACTGGAAGTTGGGACCTTTATTTCTATAGCTATTTCTTGCAATCAAAACCTCTAATGCCGAGTTCAGAGTGGTTCCGAGAAGTAAAAAAATAATCTCTGTTCTTCCAAAAACTTAGTGATCTTTTTCACTTTTTGACGGCTATTCCGAATAACGCAGAATCACTTTCAACACGGCATACTCTTCATAAAAACCCTCCAACTTTGTTGCAGTACTTTTTCGCCTACCGTCGCTATCGGCGAAAACCGGCAGCGGTCGGCTACGAGCACATTGAACGCGAAGTTTCTCCCCAATTTGTATGAAATCTCTCGCCTTCATGAATATACGGGAAACTTTTTTTGAAGATTAGATGTGATTTTTTTGAATAAATTATTGATTAATTTTTGGTTTAATTGAAAAAAAATTCCGTTTTCTTTCGATTCCAGACTTTGACACTGCTTCATAGTTCAACAGTTTAAGTTTTTTTCACAGAGAAGTTAGAAAAAATACACAGGAATTAAAAATTAGAAACGGTTCAAGTTCTTTAAAGCCCATTAAAATCAAAAAATCAGGTCTGTTGATTTCTTTGAAGTGTTCAAACGCGGTTGAAAATAAGAAGACGTTAAAAAATCAAGTTGTTAAAATCAGGATTTCCCAGGAGATTTTCGGAACTTATTCAAATTTCCCATTTTTGTGAATTATTTCAACAGACCTCCCCCATTTGCAACCACGTCAAACCAAGTGACAACGGAAAAGGAAAGAGGAAAAAAAAACTAGGACCGTCGGTCAAACGTGGTGACATTGAGACGGTTCGGAGATGTCGATCTCGAGACCCCTTCGGAAAGTCTCCTTCTCGGGATGATAACCGACACCTTCAAGGGCAGCCGCCTTTGCAACCACTTTACGGCTCCTCCGGACAGTCATCTCACTCGTTTTGTTCTCCTTCTTCGCTTTTTATTGTTCAAAAGACCTTTTTCGCTCAAAATTTACTATTTCCATAGTCAGTTTTTCCCAAATTGAAATTGGGTAGATAGGAAAAAAAAAGTAACTCGCGTTTAACCTCGAGTTCCCCGTCGAAAGCCGCGTCGTTTACGCAACGCGTCGTCCTTGCGAGTCCTTCCATCTGGCGTTTCAGTCCGGGATCTATGGGATATCTAAGCTGTTCAAAACTCCTATCTGACCTTTTTAAAGGGGAAAAAGCTTCTAAAAAACGCTAAATACATTCTCTTCGTTTTGAGACTCTTTTTGCGCCTTTAAAAATGGAAGAAAGGGTTTTTGGACATAAGCAACAGATCTTCATTCTCCTCAAAACTGAAAATTTTAATTTATCACAGTTTGTCAGGTTAAAATTAACCTTTTTGTTTTTTTTTGAATTTTTTTGAAGTATCTCACTTGGAAAATATGATATTCTGTTCAAAATGACGATGAAAAACGCATAATCCAATAAAAAATTGCCTCAACCTGAACGAATTTTTGTTTTCAAGAACCGACGACTAAAAAAAAGGTCGCCTTTCGGGTAAGTTCGAACTCTGAAGAGTCTTTTCTCAGAAACTGGTTTTTTTGGGAATAAGGCTCTCAGGATTTGCATCTGACACTTCAATGAGTAGCAAATTTCGAGAAAATTTCCAAGATATTATCAAATTAGTCTCCTTCTAGGATTTTTCCTTCTAGGAAATATTGATTTTCCTATACTTTTATCAATCTTTGTAAAATTTAGAGCTACTAGAAGGCCAAAATTTGGCGTTTGCATGTTTTTGACATGAGAAGCTAGGAAGATTGTCCGATTCGACCGCGGAAGCTATGCAAAAACCAGGACTTTGAAGCCTCTTTTGTGGAAAAATAAGACGTTTTGCAGGCACGTAATCTTCATTTAGTAGATCGAATAGTGTTCTGCCAGAAGTTCAGAAAACCTTATTTAGGGGAACTAGGAAGTTGTGCACTACCCTGGCAGTGTACCAATCTCCTAGGACTTTATGAACCTCATTTTTTCTATATTTTGAAAGGCAGGACGTTTTTGTGACAACCCAGCGGTGAACAGAGTATTCGAGAAAGCCAAGAATCGGTGTATGCATGTTCTCGGGCAGGAAGCTTGTCCTATTTGAGCAGACGACGGATTACCGCAGTGGGGAGAGTGTTTTCCCTTGTTCTTCGTGCATTTCTAACCTCGTTTGCCTCGCCTCCTTCCCGTTTTTTTTCCGTCCTTTCGTCCGTCCGTCGTCTTCGTCGTCGTCGTTCGTAACCTTGTGTCTCTGGCGGGCCGCCTGTGAGGTCCATTGTTTCCATCTCCGCCAGGGGCGCCTCCTCCGAAGTCCACTTACTTTCGCGCCCATTTCATTTCAATTTTGCACTTCTGTGTCTTGATTGGTTCCGCCGACCGTTTCTCGAGAGTTGGAATGCGAATCGGAATATCGATTTATATTTTTCTCGACCCTCTTTGGCCATTTTTTGATGACAATTGAAGCTCAAAGCTTTTTTCTTCAAAACTTCCCTTTTTATTACCTTCAGTGAGAGTTTCTGGACTTTGAAAAGCCTTCAGACCTTCTGAAATAAAGCTTGAATGCAAATCGAAAACTTTTTTTATTGAAGATTTGAATTCAAAAAAATGTTCATTAAAACAGTACTATTTTGGGGGAAATTTTCCCTCATTCAATCATTCATCCCTTCAAGCAGGTGTGAATAGCTTCATTTCAAACAAAATTTGAAAAAAAAGGCTCAAAAAACTGCGTTTAAAAAATTGCTTACTATACCTACTTGATCTACATTTTGCACAGAACACATCTCATTTCACGCTTCGAATTTCGTTTTCGTCAAAATGTTTCGTTCTCTTTCCTTTTATGCTATTATTGAATTGCTGATGTGTTTTTCTTTTGTTAGCATTCAAAGTTTTTGATGAGTGACTGTTTTATCCTTTTGCAAGACTCATTTCCAAGGCTTTTTTTGTATACACGTGCTTTTCTGAATTTTTCGAAAAATTGAAGCGTCTGTCTTTTTGGGCTTAATTTTTTTCGGAAAGAGATTTTTTTGAATCGATTTATTCTACATTCGAGGTTGTAGAAAGGTCTATTTTTTTCTGATATACATGATATTTTTTTGTTAACTCTGTCGAAAACTTGAAACTAAAAATTTTTTTAAAAATCTTCTTGAAGTTAAATTTCTTCCGACGCTTTCATAAGTTGTTTATAATTTTTTTGCTGTAGTTTTTCGAAGACAAAATATTCTTTAATTATCAAAAGAGATACTATAACGGGTTTTCTCCCTCGATTATAAGTGTATATGCGCTTTTAAATATTACAGCGAGAATTTATCATGTTTCAAGTTTTATCGAATGATTTTGGAGACTTTTGACATCAAACTTGGGAATGAATAAAATGAGTCACTTTTGCTGACACGCTTCTGAACACTTCAGAAAGCTTTTTGTTGAACCAAATACGTTTAAGTTTCATTTTTCAACCTTTCAGACTTTTTGAAGATTATTGAATTATTTTGTTTGTTTGGAAAGCTTGTGAATCTTTTTTTTTTCTTTTGAATTTTCATATAAGAACCTTGGAAACGCAGTATGCCTTGGTTTAATTTTTTTCAATTTATAAGTAGTTGAGACGCTTTTATCTGAAAAAGGAATCAAAAAAGACTCATTTTTCGCCGCTTAGAAACTTCGAACCTAGTGAAGTTAGTCACTTGTACTGAGAATTTCATACTTTTCTAAATATTTTAATGATTTCTTCAAACTTAGTTTGGCTTAATTAATTTTTTTTTAATTTTTAAAAGTTAGGAAGCTTATGTTTCGAAAGAAACCAAAAAGGACTACTAATTCCACAAGAACCTTCGTACAGCGTCGAATAAGTCGTAGAAAATCTCATATTGCTCTGAATGGTTCAGCAACTTTTTTTTCAAAACGTATGTTAAATTTTAATACTTTTGATCTTCCAGAAGTTGAGAAGCTTCTGTTTGGAATGAACGAAAAATGACTCATTTTTAGGCGGTAGGGACCCTGAAACCGTGTCGAATAAGTCACTTTGTACTGTGAAAAAGAAAATGAGCAGTGGAGCACTCCACACCGAAACGGAGCGCAAAATGCGATTAACGTGATTAAATGCACTGTGTCGCTGGGAGGGGGAGCACATTTGCATTCGGCCAAACTTTGATTCCTCGTACGTCTGTTTGAGTTTTGTCCTACACAATCGAATGCGGTGGTGTCAAACTCTGTTTATTTATTGATATGGGCGGCGGGCGTCGAAAAAATTGGGGCTTTTTTGGCGGAAGGACGGGAAGTGAGGTCAGATTGGAACAACTGATATTTGTACGATCCGTCGTCCATCGCCCTTGTTTTTTTCATTTTCCATCGTTTTAAATTGTTTCGTTTGATTTTGGTTAACAGTTTCGTTTTGTGTATTGTTAAGGTTTGTTCCAAGTTCCTTGCTGATTTTTTTTTTGGAGGTTTGAAGGATTGAGCAACCGGGAATAAAGTTGGAAAGAGTTTTTGTCTTGAGAACTTTGAGCTTTTCTAAAAATTCAGTAAGCATTTTTGTACTAGAAGCTTCTTTGTTTTTTTTGTTCTGTAAGAAGTTTGGGAGGTTCTTAACAAGTGATTTGTTATTTCTAGCTTATTTGACAGTTATCGGTTTTCTCTAGAGATTTAACAATCTGATAATTTAAATTTCAACCTTACAAAGACCCCTTCGACTTTTTTTATAGCCAAAAATCGATCATGGGGTTTTTGAGAAGAATTTTTGAAACTTTAAATCTTTTTATCGATCCTTTATATTGTTCAAATGAATGAAGATTCAAAAAGATCAACAACGCTCATCTTTCTTAAAAATGTTCATCTTAAAACAGAATTTTGAACCAATACCTTTAGTCGTTCAGAAATCTGATTGATGAGAGGCAAGTGTCTTGGTTTTTTCAAAAACCCACTCAACAACTGTCAGAATCCTGTTTTTTGATTTGTTTTCGTCAAAGAAAATAAAAATTCAATCTTTGGGACGTTAATGACTTGAAATCTGAAATAAATGCTCGAGATTTTTCGTTACTGAGTTTTTAAAAAATCGAGAATAGAAACTTCGAAAGAAAGTTGTTTCACAACTCGGAAGCCTTTTGAAGCGAATTTCTCGATTTCCAGACTTTTCTCGTTCTCCTTTAGGATCACTAGTTCTCATTGACCAAAGCGCAGAATGTAACAAAATCAAAAGCAAATTTTCTAAAATAAACAGTTTTGCAGCATTTTTCACTTAAAAAAATTCCCATTGCTCCACAAACTACACTTTTTCGGAACTGCTGAAAAATCAGGAAAAAAGGGCTGTTAGCGTCGAAGAATGGGTTGTTTTGCCTTGTATTGGGTGACAAGAAGCGAACGTTCCAAACGCAAACATTATTCCGTTGCACCGTATTATCGTCAGGACCGAGGGCTGGCGCCGAACCCGTGCGTTGATTCATATCCACCTCCGGCGCCCAGTTGGACTCGTTCCAACTACGTTTTTTTTTGCCTTTTTTCTGTGGATATGTTTTTTTTGGCAATTAGAATTGGTTCGCCGCTAGCCTTGGACATTTTTTATAGTAACATTCGTAATATTAATGTAATAGTGTAGGGAAAGAAGATGGTGTCGGAAATTTATGTTGTGATATTTGTTTGTCGGAAGCTAGTATATGATACAGAGGTCGCTAGAAATGAAGCAATACGTTTTTTTTTACCAAAAATAATAATATCCCTTTTCTTTGTGCTTTCATGAAGCTATCGAAATTTCGAAAAAGTTTCCGATTTTCCGTTTCAAAAACAGGAAATTTTTTTTTCCCCGTTTTGAAATGCTTGGGAGCAATTCTATGTAAAACTTTTCATAAATTCGCATGAGTAAGGTTTTTTTTTTCGTTTAAAATGATTTGGATGAAGACTCTCAAATTCATATTCCGATATAAGATCGAAAGTGATTAATCACTCGAAAAAATCGAATATCGTTTCGAAGTTTTCAAAAATTGTTATCGTTCAGAATTGCCCGGAAAGGAATTCTTATGAAGCTGAGAGGGAGAAAAAAAAACGAATATGAATCATTTCAGGAAGTTTTCCCATTCCGAAACAGTCTCTCATGTTCTTCTCGCACGTTTTTTTGACTTCGAATATAACTAGCAATCTTTTTCAAAACGTTTTCAATCAGAAAGTGGCCCTTTTCAGGCGCTCTTTCTTGATTTCGATTGCCAAGATTGTACTGAAATGCATTTAAAAAGGGGATCAACCTATATTGAGAAGTTGATTTCTGTCAAAGGAATGAAGTTTCAATTTTTGATTTCAATTTCGCTCTCTCTCCGTTCTGATTTTAAATTTTTTGTGTGAAATTCATAATTCACAAATTCACGGAGGTTTTTTGTCGTTTCCGAACCTTTTACTCTTTTTTTGAATCGAAATTCTCAAAAAAATGAACTGAATTCGACAGAAAATTGGATCAGTTCAGCTCGATTCTTTCTTCTTCCCGATTCGTTGTTTGACTGATGACTCTTCTTTTGAAATCGCATTCCTTTCATGGCTCTTTTTTATGTTGATAGGCGAGAGACGTTCCTCTCCCACACGATCGCGGGAAAAAAAGTCAGAATTTTTGCAGTATTATTCACATTTTTCTCCGTTGTCATTTTATTGTCTGGGAGTTTGTGTGGGAGTCGATTGTTTGCTGATTTTTTCAACGAAAAAATGGTCTGATTGGTAGATTTTTGTCGGTTTTCGTGAGGCAAAAAGTTTTTTTTATTACTTGAAATCGACTAAATGACGCTCTAAATTTTTTTTCCTCAATCTCGATCCGAATTAAGCTTCGATCTTGATTCAGTGCGTATTTTTTTTTACGAAACTTTATGTTTTGGCCTTTCCTTCAAAATTTTGTACGTGAAAATGTCTAAATATGCCATTCTACAGTTGCTGTTGAACATTGAGCCCTAGATACTGTTTTTTTTTCACACTTTTTTTTTCTTAAAATTCGAGTTGCTCAGCTTTTTGAGCCCTTTCAAAGTATGAAAAACGATTTTTTTTTTCGGCTTAACGTCAAGAACAACTTTATGAGACATTTTAAAGCATTTCAAGCATTTTAGTGGCGCAGAATTGTCTCATAATCGATTCATTCTGCTACTATTCTCATTTTTTATCATTTGGTGTCAAAATTTGAACAGCCCCTTCTCTTTTTTGCTGTACAGCTGTTACAACGCAAGAACTCTTTCCCGGGCGCGTGTTCTTGATGTTCTTTTCGTTTTTATTGCAAATTGCCTTGAAGTTCCTCATTTTATTCTTGAGTTTTTCAGGATTTCAACGGAGAAAGAGCGGGGGAGGCGGCTTTTGTCGACGGTTTTCATAAGAAGCGGCGCACAAATCAGAGGAAAATGTCGAAAAAAGCGGTTGGTTTTCGGGATTTTCAGGGAGTAGAGGAGTATTTTAACCGGTTCTTTGGAAGGAAAAATTCTTGAAATCACATTTAAAATTGTTTTTTTTTTAAATATTTTTTTAGGAGAAGGAATATGAATAAAGCGCAGTTTTTACGAAATTTTAGATATTCAAAAAATTCAAAAAAAATTTTTTTCAAAACGGATATTTAGAGTTCAGATTATTTTTTTATCGCAAGTCAAACCATTATTATTTGGATAAGGACTTCTCAAAATTTTTGAAATTACTATTCCAGGTTATTAACATTTTGTGAATATTCATAAAAACGGAATTTTGAAACATTTTAATATATTTTAACCCACAAAAAATTATAAAAAGTCCTTTATTCGTGAAATCAAACGTTTTCAGCTCAAAGGAAACAAGGAACTAATTAAATTTTTCTTTTGAGACTGGGCGATAAGTTAAAGAAAAAAAAGATGAGAAGAATGGATTTTCGTGATGGAAAGAAGGTTGAGGCGAATTATTCGAATAAACAAAACGAAGGCAAATGAATAATTTATGCCAAAAAAAGATGAAAATTTCAAATTTTTGAAAGGGAAAATTCAAAACCTACTTACTAATTAACTACACTGGTAAGAGGGGCGAATGCTGATAAAAGAAGGGGAGAAAATGTTGGCATTATCATTGGAAACCTCGGCACACGGCGCTTATCAGAATCCGCTCATTTTCTGCTCACAAACTCGCTCCACACTACCGCGCCTTTTCACTATTTTGTGTGTACGCGAAAAATGGTCGCCATCCACGATGATGTTGGTTTTTGCCCCGTTTTCAGTTGGAAATATTCAGTTTTTTTTTTGAGTTTTTAAGAAAAAAATGAATGTTTTCAGAGTAATTTCTGCAATACCAAAACTGACGAGTTTTTCGTTGAAAATGATTTTGAGAAATAGGCGAAATTAGAGCCCGAAGAGCTTTTAAAAGTGAGCTTTACAACGATTAATTCCAAGACGTAACTTTATACAGTTATTTGTACGTGCGAATTTGAGTTTTTCGTTGAGAATTCTCAAAAATTTTCAAAATCTGGAGTTCGCGCGTAAAAATCACTTTGAAAAGCTATATATCGTTGTAGGACCAATTTCTAGCTGGGAAACGTAGTTTTTCTGAATTTTTTTTTTGGCGTTCTCGGAAGAAATTTGAGGAAAATGATGCACAAGCAGTAAAAGTGACAGGTTAAGCTTCGCTAAAAATTGAAAATAAAGTTACCAAACATTTTTTTAAATTTTTCGGTATAATACTTGATATTTTTTTGGCTTATTTTTCAGTTGCAAATGGTGTTTTTTCGATAATAAATTAGTCGGTTTTGCGAATTTCTCATCTGAAAAAGCCTCTAATTTTTCTTTTTTTAACTTTTTTTGAATTTGAAAATGTTAATTCTTGAAGACATTACAGTAAAAGCTTTCTTTTTTTGTGAATAAAATTCCTGTCTTGTGGCGATAAGCCGTTTTTTTAGTTAAAGTCTGGGTCATGGAATCAAATAAAGGTTTTTTTATAGGTTATAGGCTTCAGTGACATTTCAAAATCATTTGGAGCTGAGAAAAATATGTGATTTATGTTTTGAAATATAGTTAACAAATAGGAACTGAATAAATGTTTGTATTTTGCAGATAAATGTGCGCGTCACGACGATGGACGCGGAACTGGAGTTCGCGATCCAGTCGAGCACCACCGGCAAACAACTTTTTGACCAGGTCCTTGATTTTTCTTTATTTGAGCAAAATAAACATTTCTCCAGGTCGTCAAAACCGTTGGCCTTCGCGAAATTTGGTACTTTGGTCTTCAGTATATCGATAATAAGGGTTGGTTAGATGGAAATTGAAGGGATCATTATAAAAATATAGACTTTTCAGTCTTCGGAATGATAAATATACGGGGTTTTGGTGAAAATTGAGCTGAAAGCTTTCTTTCAGAAAAGTGTAGGTGCCATTAATTTGGAGTTCAAGTCTTCGAACTTCTTTAATTTACTTGAGTTTTTTTTTCTGTTCTTTATAGTTCTGGAAAACTTTCTCAGGGGAATTTTCTGATTAGAGAAAGATAATCTCATTTTTCCAGTTGATTTGAGATTTTTCTGTACTTTTTGAAAATTTTCCAGGATTTCCCACGTGGCTGAAGCTCAACAAGAAGGTCCTTTCTCAAGACGTTAAGAAAGACTCGACGTTGGTTTTTAAATTTCGCGCCAAATTCTACCCGGAAGACGTCGCCGAGGAGATCATCCAGGACGTTACGATGGTAATAATTTATTTCGTTTTTTTAGGAATAATCCTCGAAATTTTTGAAAGTTTATCAGGTGAAAATTGTGGAAAAAAAATATCAAAGTTTTATATTTTTTTGAAGAATTTCGATTATTTTTTTAGCGGAAGATTTTTTTCAAAAAAATGTAAAGTTGAACTGCAAGAGAAGAAGTTGGGATGGAGAATTCGAGGGATTACTTGAGTATTTTCAAGACTTTTTAGGGGTCTCTTTCCATTTTTTTCAGAAGTTTTTTTATTTGGGATTTTTTTAATAGATAGAAAACTTTTTGTTTCTTTTTCGATCGGAAATATACAAGAACCGGGTATTTACTAAAAGCAATTCCTAAAATTTCTTCGAAAAAAATTGAATTGAGATTCTCAGGGAATACTTTTTTTCGAAATATTCTTTTTTTCAAAAATGTGTCCTCAATAGAACATTTTTTTAGGGGTCTCTTTCCATTTTTTTCAGAAGTTTTTATTTGGGATTTTTTTAATAGATAGAAAACTTTTTTTGTTTCTTTTTCGATCGGAAATATACAAGAACCGGGTATTTACTAAAGCAATTCCTAAAATTTCTTCGAAAAAAATTGAATTGAGATTCTCAGGGAATACTTTTTTTCGAAATATTCTTTTTTTCAAAAAAATGTGTCCTCAATAGAACATTTTTTTAGGGGTCTCTTTCCATTTTTTTCAGAAGTTTTTTTATTTGGGATTTTTTTAATAGATAGAAAAACTTTTTTTGTTTCTTTTCGATCGGAAATATACAAGAACCGGGTATTTACTAAAGCAATTCCTAAAATTTCTTCGAAAAATTGAATTGAGATTCGGTGGTATGAAAAGAACACCAGCGAAAATTCAAACGGCGACTTTTCCGATTTTTTCAAATCGCTAGGGAACTTTCCGACGGCCACCTTTCCGACTAATCTTTTTTTCCGACTTTTTTTCTCGATAAAATCTTCGTTTTAAATCTTCCTATACAAATTAGGTAGTTGGTTCATGATTAAAAACACAAAGAAATAGGGATAAAAAAATGTGAATAGATGTCTTATAAACCGAAAAAAATATAAGGGAAAAAAAGTCGGAAAAAAAGTTTCGTCGGAAAGGTGGCCGTCGGAAAGCTCCCTAGCGATATGAAAAAATCGGAAAAGTCGCCGTTTGGATTTTCGCTGGTGTTTTTTTCATACCCCTGAGATTCTCAGGGAATACTTTTTCGAAATATTCTTTTTTTCAAAAAAATGTGTCCTCAATAGAACATTTCATTTATTCATGATTTCAATCAATTTCCGGACATTGGGAATTTTTTCGTATAAACTACCACAAATACCGCCTTTTTTGCATTTTGAAGGCATTTAGAACGTTGCGTGAATCGTATTTTGTCGTGGAAAGGTTATAGAGCGGCTATGACATTATTTCTCGGCCTACGTTTTTTTATTCTTTTTTTTTTAAGCACTTTTTTGTAAAACCTAATTTCTGTGGAAGTTTCCATGAGCCCACGGTTGTAATTGGTTATAAATTTCGAAGGCTTTGTAATTTTCTTCGCTCGAACTTTTTTTCGAAGTTTTATAAATTGATTAGAAATCCTTATGCCGTGTTAAAGTTTATCACCGCGAAGTTTAAAATGATTTTTGACTCTCCAAAAGTTAGCTATCTTTTTCTTTCTGTGGCGGCTATTTTGAGTTTCGCAAAATCAGACAAGGCATCATTTTTTTCTTGCATTCATATTCATTATCAGAGCATTTCTGTGTCTCTTTTCCCAATAATTGTTCCCGAATTTGCCAAGACATCATTCTTTCTCCATGGCACTCCCTTATCAGCAAACGTTGGCAAAAAGTTGTCCGTCCAGAAACTGAAAATCGAGAATTGATCGATGGGGTGCACGTTTTTCCCCTGGATCTCAAACGGAAACGCGACTTTTTTGGGCGTTTCTCCGGCCCGTCCCCTCAATGCATAATGTAGGCGTGAGAATGTTCAATGAGTCATGTATATGTGTTTGTGTGCTGATGGCGTCGGACACCCGGTTTGACGAAACCAAATTTTGGATTGAACGACGGGGATTTCTGGGAAAATAAAGGGAATTTCAGAGTGATTTGATAGAAAATTAAGTTTATGAACTCTTTAAACTTTGCAGAAATTTTTGAATAGTTAAGGTTGGGTTTTGAGGAATCACAAAAGCAATTAGATTTCGACAAGACGAAATTTTTTTATTGAAGGAAGGAGATTTTTTTCGTAATATAACGGACTAAATTTTAATAAAAAGCGGTACTATTTCTAAAAATTTCAGAACTTTCAGGAGCGGTTTTCGAGAATTTACCGAAGTAAAAAAATTTTTTTGTCGTTAAGATTTTTTTGACGTCATGATATTTCTATCAAAGGAATTTTAAAGAAATTAGACTCAATTTTTTTGAAAAAAAGCAGTCGAATTCGTAGGCCCTTCTACAGTTTTTTTCGCAGGTTTTTTTGAGGAGTTAGAAAGTAAAAAAATCTTGCCGGAAAAAAAGGTATTTGATTTTTTTTTTAGTAAGATTTCCTTGTGTCACGTTTTGTCAAAGTCACGTTTTAAAATCGAAAAAAATGTGACGGTTTTTTCGGAATTTGTTAAAGAAAAAAAGAGCCTCAAAAAAATCAGTTTGGAAAAGCATTTTTGCGAAACAATGTATATAGAACTTTATAAAGTAGAATTTTCTGTTGCAGCTTTGTAATTCGTTCAATAATATATTTTTTTTGCAATTTTCGTCTCGTCAGGAAATATATTTTATTGAATACACCCTAAACTCCTAGCGAGAGATCATATTCCGAGGACGCATCTTTTTTTTTTGGTCCAAACCGAACCCGGGTGCGTCACACGTGTCGCAAAAAAAAAGATTCGACGTCGCAAATTTATGGACAAAAAGAGAGAAAACGGCTCGGTTGCGAAGGAGCGACGAAATTGCGTTTTGAATGGACCTTTTTTGGGAAGTTCCTGACCGGAATCGGGGACCTAGTGAAATATTCGCTTTCCCGCTGAAAAAGGATGGGTTTATTTAGTGTGGATGAAGAAAGTGAAGAAAAAAAACCGTATATGAAGTAAAAACTTGAACTTTTTGATACCAATGCTGTGGTTCTTTTTTAAGTAAATCGAAAATAAGCAAGTAAATCGAAAATTTTCGAAAATCGCAAAGAAAAAAGAGAAGAAGCTGGAAAGATCAGATTAGTAAGAGGAAAAGGTAGCGTGGAATTTTTTTTTTCTAATTTGGTTAAATATTTCTTCGAACTCCGCCTAGTTTCCCTTTGTGTTTTGGGCAATACTACGTATTCAAAGAAGAAAAATGGAATTTATATAAATGGAAAAAAATAAATGTAAGTTTATCGATGAAAAGACCTCATTATAATTGAAGTCTAAGGAGAAAAAATAGTTGTTTTTTCGCTTTGGAAGCTCCTAATTTTTCAGCGTCTGTTCTACCTGCAAGTGAAGGACGGCCTCCTGTCGGATGAGATCTACTGTCCGCCGGAGACTTCGGTCCTCCTGGCCAGTTACGCCATGCAGGCCAAATATGGCGACTACAATCCGGACACCCACACGGCTGGATGTCTGACGGCTGATAGGTACACGTGTTTCTTAAATTTTGAAACAATATTTAAAAATTGGTTTGAATGAGGAATCTTGGACGCAGGTAACTGCTGATATTTCTGTAACATTGGGAGAATAATTCAAAAAAAATAATCATCCAAAATTTTGAGCTTAGTGTAGATTTTTCATCAAGTCTTTTTCCGGATTCACTTTTTCTATCGTACTCAGATCTTGCGGGGATATAAGGAGTAGCCAGCACTCCTCAAGTAATCGCTAGAGACAGAATAACTCCACTTGAGTGACCACTCACAGAAGAACTTTGAACCTTTGATGGAACTCGGCTGAGTTGAACTTCAGGGTCTTCTGATTCCATAACAAGACAAAATTTTCCAGATTTCAGTCGAGTTATTAGCGTTATGAATGACTATAAGGCAAATATTGAGAAAGTTTGTCTTATTATATGGGGTTCGAATAGAATTTCAGCCAAGTTTAAGCAAAGAATCAAGGATAAAAAAAACCCTTCCCTTGTTGGGTCATTGATTCCTTATTTTTATAGATTTTCACCGAGCTGTTTTATACATAACTCGCTAGCAACCTTTGCTGTTTCAGACTGCTCCCGCAGCGCGTCCTCGGACAGTTCAAACTCAACTCGGAGGAATGGGAACGGCGGATCATGACCTGGTGGGCCGACCACAAGGGGACGACCCGAGAACAGGCGATGCTCGAGTATTTGAAGATCGCCCAGGACCTGGAGATGTACGGAGTCAATGTGGGTGGTTGTGTGATCGTCGTAAGAAAAAAAAATGTTTTTGGAGAATTTTTGATTTGAAAAAGTCGTTCTGTTCTGGAGATTTTTTAATAGCGAGTAAAATAATGGTGTGCTTGAATAAGAAAAAAGATATTGAAAAAATGCTTGTTTTTTCACAGAAATCTTCATTTTTATGATGATAATGGATCCAATTTCTCAAGAGAAAAGGTTGATTTCAAGACAAAATTGAAGTTTACGAAATTAATTAACTTTTTTTGAAATGAGCGTTCTACGAAAATTTTTCTCACTAGGGAACTACTCGGACTCGGGTACGCGTATCGAGTTCAAACTTTAGTGGTTTATAGACCTAAGTGAGAATACTTGAAAAAAAAGTGTGAATATCTGCTAAACCCAATAAAGAACTAGAAAATTTGAAAATTAGGCCTGAGAATTTTCAGAATATTGCTTTTTACCTTATTTTTATATTTTAATACAATCGTCTTGAATGATCCGGCTATGATAAACTCTAAAAAAAACTTTATTTCCAGCCAAAAAGAAAAAAAGGAAAAACTGAAATTTGATAATTTTCAAGCCTAAATTGTTCATTTTTCAAAAAAAGCTTTTTCTCAGAAGCCTATGGGGTTTAGCAGAAAATCTCTCTTGTTTCCAAGTACTCTTACCCGGGTCTAGGAGCCACCAAAGTTTCAACTTGAAACGCGTACCCGAGTCCGAGTAGTTCCCTAGTCAGTATTTTTTTCTCTTGCTTTTTTTTTTTTTTTGACACTAAGGTTCTATATTTGATTATGAATAAAACAACAAATCGGAACGAATTAAAATGCAATTTTTCTGCTTTTCGGTAGATCTTTCTCTTTTTGCCTTTTCTGGAAATGGAGATTTTAAACTTTGAAGATTTTGAAAAGAAACATATATATGTTTTTCTAAAACTTCCTTGTTCTTTGAAGAGATCTCCTAGACGAATTCCCTTTTTCAGTACTTTGAAATCCGCAACAAGAAAGGCACCGACCTGTACTTGGGAGTGGACGCTCTTGGCCTGAACATTTACGATAAGGCCGATCGATTGTCGCCGAAGGTAGTTTCAGAGAAAAAAAACGAAGAAGATGATCATTTTTCTCCAGGTCGGATTCCCTTGGTCCGAAATCCGCAACATTTCCTTCAACGACAAGAAGTTCGTCATCAAGCCGATCGACAAGAAGGCCCATGTCAGTGTAAAAAATTATGGATTTTCATGAACACAATTTTTTATATTGATCCGAAAAATTTTTTTTGAGCTCATTTGTCGGAAGCAGCTTCAATATGCATTGAAAAAATTTTAAAAAGTTTTTATAAAATAATTTTTGAATTTCTGAGTGTATTCAAAAAAGTAGGGAGTTCTTAAAGTTGTGCCAAAAATCTGAGCAATCTGAATGGAAGTTTGGTAATACTATCAATTTACGGAGTATGAAATTTTTTTCGGAAAGATCCATGTTTTGTGTGGCCCGCAAACCGTGTACAGTACCGTCAGAAAAATTGCGAGAAAATTTTTTTGCTCACAATTCCTTGTATGGAGCTCTATCTTTCGGAAAATTCCTAAGCTGTGTTATTTTTCCTGTAAGTTGAAATTCAACCTGAGTGTTACAAAACAAAGATCCAGAAATATTGAACTCCATACAAGGAAGTTGTGATCATAAACCGGTTTTTTCGTATCTTTTCTGATGGAACTTTATTCACAAAAACTTTTTACTCGAATCTTCGGAGCGGATGGTTGTATTTTGCAGGACTTTGTCTTCTACGCGCCACGCCTTCGCATCAACAAGCGAATCCTGGCCCTCTGCATGGGCAACCATGAGCTCTACATGCGACGCCGCAAGCCCGACAGCATCGAAGTCCAGCAGATGAAGCAGCAGGCTCGGGAGGAGCGGGCTCTGAAGCACGCCGAGCAGGAACGCCTCAACAAGGTGTCTCGTCGAATATTTTTGTCGGAAAAAAAGAAATTGATCCAAATTGATTGGTTCATGTGCTTATTCCATAGAAGCCTTTGTTTCGGGAAAAAAATACGCAGAAAATGGCCTCACTTTGAATATTTCAGAAATTTGCGAAATAAATTCCAAAAACAGATGTATAGGAGCATCTCATTCGAAGAAAAAAAACACTTAAAACCCAACTAAACTGGGAATACATTGCAGGAGACGAGTGCCCGCGAAGAAGCCGAAGCACGACAACGCGAGGCCGAAGATCGCATGGCACGGATGACGGCCGACATGGAGCGGGCGAAGCGCGAGCTCGAGGAAGCCCACAACACGATCCACAGCCTCGAGGCTCAGCTCCGACAGCTCAAACTCGCCAAGGAGGCCCTCGAGTCAAAGGAGGTCGAGCTCCGCGAGCTCACTGCTCAGCTCCAGAGCGAGAAGGCCATGAGCGACGAGGAGAGACGTCGTCTCCGCGAGGAAGTCTTGTTCAGGGAGAACGAGGTGAGTATTAGAGGGCTCATAGAGAATAGATTCTGCCAATGGAGAAAAAGAATCTGATAAAGTTGTCTCATGGCTCATATTTGAACTAAGAATATAAGAAAACGGCCGTGTTGATATCTGAAACTTCTAACTGTGTAGAACCTGCAGAATTATTCTGAATGCTTTGACTTTTTGAGTTGAAACTTTTAGTTTAGTTCTTATAAATACTTTGTTTCGTAAACTAATTGTTCTTCTGTAGGTCTCCGTTATGCGCACTGAGGTTGAACGACAAGCTCAAGTCACCAACCACCTTCAGTCCCAGGTTTGAAAAGTTTTCCAATATTTTTTTCCTTGAGACTTTCCGAGCAGAACTTGAAATTTTCATCCTTTTTTCCAGGTCGACTCGCGCAACCGACAACTGCACCAGCACAACAATATTCACACGCGTGAGGAGATGCACACCGACGAGGAGGAGAATGGAACTACTGGTTGGTTTCAGAAGAGATTAGAAGAAAATTAACAGCAATGAATTGTTGAAAATTCCAACAGTTGCTGTAGGTCGGGTGAACAATATCTTGCGGAATAGCGTCATCCCTACAAGCTTAACTTTTTTGAAAATCGTTTTTATCCAATCTTCAAATTTTGAGTTCAGCTAGCGGGGAATTGAACATCTACAATGACTAAAGCGAAGAAAAATAAAAGATTTTTCTGGTGATAACTAAATGTCTTCCAGAACTGACCAACGACGCCGACCAGGATGTTCCGCAACGCGAACTCGACCGCGTCACGGCCGCCGAGCAGAACGTCAACATCAAGACCAAGCTGGAGCTGCTCACCCGGGAACTCGCCGACGTCAAAGACGAACGCGGCGTCACCGACTACGACGTTCTTCACATGGAGGTCAATATGAGGATAATGGAGGCTGAGATGTTTTGAAACGGGGATGATAAGATCTTTCGAAGTGAAAGACGGCTTATAAAAATATAGAAGATAATTGAGATAAAGATCAAACTTAGGGAGGAAGTTGACTTTTCTTGGCGTTTTAGAAGAATATCCAATTCCTTTTGAAAATTTTTAGTTCACAGGATTTTCAAACACGGTAAAAGAAAACTACAAAAAGTCAATTTTATCGGCGGTGTGAGCAGTTGAAAGAAGATATTTTTATGAATTATGGTCATTTTTTTCTTCACTCGCCATTTTTTTGATGAATTCTGATGCCACGTGAATTAGATTGAAGAAGTCACCGTCTTTGTGTTTTCTTATTCCAAGGCGAAGATCGCTCTCTATTCGGATGAACTCTCAGAATGACCGCGAGGTTTTGAGCCCTTCCAAATGCGACCAAATCCTTTCAAACCGTGGCCATTGTATCACAAAATTATTTTACAGCAAAAAGATGCATTTCTGAACTTGAATATAGATTTGTAATGTAATTATTTGCAGAACAAGAAGGCCGGCCGCGACAAGTACAAGACTCTGCGCCAAATCCGCGGAGGTAACACAAAACGCCGAATCGACCAATATGAAAATATGTGATTCCCCCATATCACCACAAAGAATCCCCGTTTTTTTAAATCGATAGTAGGTTGTTGAAAGTGAAAAAAATCAATTTTAAGTGTATTTTTGTGTGTTAATTATTCTAAATTTGTTCCAATTCACCCTGAATAATGTTTGATTTCGAAACGTTGTGCCAACTTTTTGTTTTTATCGTTTGCAAGAATTTTTATGTATTTTTCACATATCTCTCTCTGTTATCATGCCTTAAAAATCCCGAATAAAAATCCCCGTTCAGCACTTTTTCTTTCTTTCTTTCTTATTACTCTGTTTTTTTGATACAAAATTCGACAATCATATCCGCCCATTGCCAGCTCCTTTTCTCGGATTCTCTATCTTATTTTTTTTACAAAATATTTATTCCTCGAACGCGAAACAATTCTCTCCCCAAGTCTAGCGCAATTTTTGCACGGTTTTATTTATTGATTGATTTCTAAAGTGATTTTTTTAAACCGACTCGGTTTGATTTTAATCGAATTCACTTATTTTCTCATACGTGCATGTGAATAAACGTATTCTATGAAGAATCAAGTAGCAATGAAAGAAAGTTGAAGTTCAAATAAAATATTTGAAGAAATTTGGTTACTGTAATTGTCCTCCTCGCATACACGTACTGCACCGGATACGCTAGCTCACGCGCATTTTTCTTTAAAATTTTTTTATTTTCTAAGAAAGCTAAAAGCTTGGATGATTGGTTATTCTCTGACGGTTTAAAAGTTTCAGATGCTCCGAATTATGAATCTTTTGTAAAAAATAAAATTTTTTGTTCCAAACGGACAGAAAATTTACAGATGACCACAAGTTTTTTTAATTAAAAAGTCAAAAAAAGAATAATCCGAGTTTTTTTCATGTTTCGAAAAAGAGACCGCGGATTGAAAACTCGTCAAGTATGGATTTTAAGAATTTTTTATAGTGTCAGATTTCTGAAGTCGTTTGTTTTTCAAGCGTTTACTTGGTTTAGTAGGCGATTCCGTACTTTTTGTGTTCCAAAAAGAAAAGTAACATTTCAATCTTTTCAGAATCCCATTTTTTTGTTACTTGATAGTTCGTATTTTTTTCTTTTTTTCAAAAATTTTTATTCTAAAATTTTTCAGAAATGAGCAGTATGAGGAGAGCTTTACACACGACTGCAGTTGTTCTGCGCGGCCGCAGTGCTTTTTATAATATTCATAAAAAGGTTCAATTAAGTTCTCAAATTTGATTTTTACGTTTAAAATTTTAGGTCGATGATCCAGCAAAGCAGGACATGGAATATTTTGAGAAAAAAGCTCGTCTTCTACCTCTTGGTTGGAATTTTCATGGAAAATTGAAATTATTGCCATTTTCAGATGAAAACTACGTTGACGCTTTGACCAAGTTGTACTATGAGAAAATAGGCAGCGAACGGGATTTGGGACTGAAAGCGGCTGATAATTTGGTGATTATATTGGTGTTAAAAATCCTCTCAGTGGTGTTGAATAACTTTATTTTTCGCTGAAAACAGCTCTATATCTTGAGATTTCTTTGAGAAACATGGACAAATTTTATGAAGGCCTCGAGACGAAAAGATGTCTTTAGTGTGATTTAAAACATATACAATTTTTTTGCTTCAAATTACCCAGGCGATACCTTTTTAGCGAAATTTTGAGTCACCTTTTTCTATTTTATTTCTTCAGATCTCCGAAAAAGTCACATTCGGCCTTCCTTCCATCGATTTTTCGAAACCCAGAGCCGAATTTGAGGATTTGGATACTTTGGAGAATGCGCCGGCCAGTGTGAAAAAGATTTTTAGGTTGATTTTTGAGAAAATATGAGGAAAAGGATGATTTTCAGTGTTGAAATGGCGAGCCGACGGCAACTTTCGTCGGAATGGAAACAGTCGTTGATCAATTCGGTTCGACGGCATTCTTTGGACACGAATAGTCCTGAAATGAAAAGTAGGGACAGTGGAAATGAAAGGAAAGAATTAGTGAAAAAAATGTTGCAAAAAAATTCAAGAAAAATTTTTTTAAAAATTTTTGAGTTTGTTCTTAATTTCTTTTTTTCTTTTTTTAATGAAATTATGATTAAGAGTCGTGTTAACTCCGAGAAGAAAAATTGAATTGAAATCTTGATTCTTTTTTAAAAAAATTCTTTGTACAATAAATAAATTCGTATATTTTTTTCAGAAATTGAGAAAAAGAAAAAAAGAAATTTGGTATTGTTTTTGAAAAAAATCAGACGATTAGTCATAGTATCAAAAAAACGTGTGGCATTTTATTACATCTTTTTCAAAACATTGTTAATATTTTTCTTAGAAAAAAAGTTGATATCCTCAATCATTTTTATACCAAAAGCCTTGCTGTATGGTTTAATTTTGAAAAAACTCTATCCAGGCCTTTTTCTAAAAATTCAAAACTTTGTTTTGAAAATTTCCATGAATGTTATTAGTTTCGATTTTAAATGATAATTCAGAATTTTTTTGAATTTCAGTCGGTTGGCTGACGGCTTTGATCCGACATTGGTCGCTTCTGGTCGATGATATTGGGCAGGGAACTGATAAGGTTTTTTCTTTGAAGTTTATCAATTGATAGTTCTAAGCCTTCTTCAAAGACCATTCTGTTTCTTAAACCTCTGGTTTGGTTTTTAAAAAGCATCGGAATTTTTCAAAAATGTTTCAAGGAGAAAAAAAACGTTTTCAGTGTTATTTCAGGACTTTATAATCTTTTCCAGCGTTTTTGAAGATAATTTGAGTTTAAACATTGTGATGAAACTTGTAGAAGCCCACCTGGCTCACCCACCGTATTTGGCTTGTTATCAACGAAAGAAGGAGGCTTCTTAGAATTCTGAGGTCTGATAAAATCATGGACGCCTTGACGGTTTATCTTTTCAGAGAAGAAAACAAGGAATCGTTCGAAAAAGTAATAAAAACGCTGAAAATCTCGTATCACGTACCGAAGCCGTTGACCCATGTCAAGACGAGAAAGGTTTTTTTTTTCTTTTTTCAAATCTTTTGGATCATTATCATTTAAAATGATTGAAATTATGCATTTTTTTGAGAAAAAGTAGTCAATTTTTGACGAATTTTTATGATTTTTCTCGCGTAAGATTTGTTGGCTGAAACATTGGTTTCAAGGCTTGGGCTGAGGCTCAACTGCGGGCCAGGGTCGAAGAGGAGAAGGAGAAGCGACTGGACGAGCTACACACGACCTATTTGAGGGAGAAAGAAGAGGCGACGGAGAAGAACCGAGCAAGAAGACAGTTGCTTCAGAAGGAGCTCGCCGAGGTCAGGAGATTTCTGAGAAACTGAGAAAATGGAATTTCCTTCATTATTCTTATTCTTTTTTTGATTTTCGTCACCTTCTTTTGCCCAGCTTTACTTAGCTATCGTTTCTTCAAGGAAAAAAGAGAAGCAGATTCTAGAAAATGTTTCTCTGCATCATTCTTCGAAAATTCATATTGGTCGTAGAGAAAAATTATTTCCATTGGTGGTAAAATAAAAAGATTTGATCTTATTTGACGATAGTCATCAAAAAAATTTTGAACTAGAATAAATTAAGTCATTTTTTCCTAGTGTTAGAGTATCGTTTTCTAGAACTGGGAAGCGTTATGAAACAAATTGTTTCATATCAACGTTTTTTTTTTCTTAAAGGTGGAAGGAAAGATGACGGCGATCGGGAAAAATTGAAGGGAAATACACGCCGACAGTGGGAGTCTACCAGCCCTCGTTAATCTCTTCGCTTTCCGAAACAGTCCTTCACTCGGCTCTCTTTTATCACCCGAAACCTACCTCGACTCCCCGATAATCTCCCCTTATTTTAGTTCTTCATAGGTGATAGTTCGTTCAGTAGAAGGCTTGGGCTTTCGAAATTCCCTTGTTATTATTTTTTTTTCTTTCTAGAGTTTGATCGAACCCTATAGTCGATCCTTCCCAACTCGAGAGAAATTCTCGCAAGGGCGGTGCGTTGCGTACGCGACGCGGCTTTTCAGCGGGAAACTGGAATTTGAACTCGAACCACCTTTTTTCATATTTTTCTACTTTTTTGAAATCTTTCCAATGATTTTTATTTTTTCTGGTTTGAAAAGGTAGTTTAACGAGTAGAAATATAAAATAATTAGAACTATTTTTTTTTTTCACTTTTTTGCATTATAACATTACTGCATAAATCGTAGCGGGCCGCAGGACTTTTTTTGAGATTCGAAAAACAATTTTTTCCTTGATTTTTGATTTTTATGACAGTATCGCTGCGACATAGTCCAAGAAAATGGGGATTGCGGCTCTCCTCGAGTTTCCCGCTAAAAGCCGCGTCGCACACGCAACGCTTCACTCTCGCCAATCTCGCCTTTCAAGTCGGAAACGATTGACTAGAGGTTTCGATAGAAAATTCAAAACTTCTGGAACTGAAATTTTCAACAACAAGTTCTATAAGATTATCTTATTTTTATTCGAAATAATTCTTTTTAATCTTCCATTCAAAAAAATCTATTTTTTTCGATTTCACTTTCAACTTTTTATTTTTCGAAATGTTGCCCCAAGCTTTTTTTCTGACCCATATTTGTTATATACAATTTTTTTCGTTGTTTTATTGTTTTTATTTTATTGATCCGTTTTTTTCAGAAAAAAAATGAATCTTTCCAATATTAAAATCCAATCGTTACGTGAAATCCACGTCCCGTTCTTCCGATTGAAAAATCATTTTATACGAATCTTGAGCCTGGCATCGATTTTTCAAGGTTTCCTAATTTGGACTTCTTCATTAATTGTTTTCTAGCTTTAAAACGGACTCTCATGAAATGTTGAAGTTTGTGCCTAGATATTTCCTATTTCTGCTCATTTTCTGTGGACTGGCTGCTTTTTGGATAATTTTCTCCGCTCAAAGGACGAACTCAATTTCGTGGCTTTTCATTCGTGGGTTTTTTTTTCAATTGGAACCTAGAAACGCCAAAGTTTTCCTCTTATGGGTGAGGGAAACAGCCCCTCCTTGTAGGGGGTTTTATTACTTTTTTTTTGTTGAGATTTGAAAATTAAGAAAACTTATTTAACAAAACTTGAAAGAAAATTTAATCTTCTGTTGCTACTTTTTAAAATTGTTACCAACTAAAACCTCTACAGAGAGAGGTAAAGTGGTCCCTAGAGGGCATTCCCTCGAAAGCTGCTCCTTTAGGGACCACTCCGGCGTTCCAAAATATCTGTAAAATATTCTTTACGAAGTGTTCTTAACTAAAATACAACAGATAGATTCGATGAAGATATGAAAATAAACAAAAACGGCAAAATTACAGAAGATAGAGGAACTCCCAGTAAGAAAAATCACCGATTTTTCTTTTGCGAAAATAAAAATTCAGTTTCCAGATGAGAAACAGGAATCTGAAGGGACAGTTTCATCTACAGAAATAAATTCTACATCGAAAATCGAACCTGTTACTTCAGAATCAGTGGTAAGAGTGGATTCCGGTTGAAAAACTTCGAAAGTAAATGAAAAAAATAGGTTAGTTAACAGAATGAATAAATAAAACAATAGAGAGAATTTTGAAAAGATTAAAAAATGATTGCGCACATTAAATCCTAATGCCGTGTTCAAAGTGATTCCGCGAAATTCAAAATAGCCGTCAGAGAAAGAGAAAGATAACTAAATTTTGGAGGGTCAGAGACAATTTCGCATTTCGCGGAAATTACTTTGAACACGGCATAACGAACTTCAAGGCGATAAATAACGTTTCAAGAACGATTGAAATGGGACTTTTCAGTAAGCGAGAAGGTATGGATCAATGCGATATTTTGAAAATGTTCTGAATTTTTGTGGCCGTCGAAAAAGTTTTTTATGAGGATTTATTCGTTATCTGTCAGGTTTTTCATGTGTAGTAGGTCTGGAAAAAAAAAGAAAATAATATATGATAAGCTTGTCGAGAAATAAGTTTCAGTGAGAGGCGAGCAAGCCACAGAGCGTTTTAGATGACGTCATTTAACTTCAAATTCCGAATCTGAACAGAATATTGAGCGTTTAAACTAGATGGAGATTCCTTCAGAAATTAGCAAGCTGGAAAACGAAAAATAAAACTGTCTATATACATTTAATGTATCTTGTGCGTTATCAGAAAGAAGAGTACCCCACAATAGTTTTATTAACTAGGTGTGGTAAGATGAAGTTGAGGAGAGGCGAGAAGTCGTCAGTCCGAGGCTTGAGGCGACGGCGAGGCTGGAGGCGAAACGGGGGCGGTACGAGTGATGATGATCTGAGTTCCCGACTTCTTTTATACTCTTAGTTGGGATATCTCTCACGTGATCTATCATTTGATCACTATCAATTCACATATTCAACAATACATAAGCGTTTATTTGTTTTCTAATAGGTTTTCATGTAAACTAGGTCTCAAAAATAAGCTTATATCTGGAACGTAGTTAAAATAGTGTGAGTTTTAATATTCCCTATGAATTTCCCGAGCAAGATCAAGGTAGAGTTTCCTAGAACTATTGTAGAAAATGCTCAAAAACTAATATAATTTTGTAAATTGAAGTCGAAAACTCCCCTGCGCATACATCCAAACAAATCGGAAACTTCCCACCAACCTTCAAAAAAAGTTGTAATCTTCGCCGCCACCAAATATTTCTCCCAAAGGATCCAAGATGCTGCTTTCATGGACTTATGCCATCAGACGACGAAAGTTTGCTCCAATGATAATAGAGTTAAATTCGAATTTATTCAGGACTACTGTAGGATAACGGATGATTTCCGTGAGTTGAACTCGTCCGACGCCGTCATTTTTCATTACCGTAATTATCCAACTCAAATGATGAGTTCAAATGAAACGGAGCGGCGAAAAGAGGTGACGTCATTGCATGTTTCGACAGTTTTCTTTTCAATTAGTCTCTTAAACGAGTAGTGACGTCACTTGAACTTCAATGATAGGACGTCATAACTTTCGATTCTTCCAGGAATCAATCTGGCGACACCCCATACGGCCCATTATTCTCATGACCCAAGAAAGTCCGATTAGTGATGATTTATCTCGGGTTCAAAGTGGTCAGTTCAGAGTTCAAACTAGACTCTCTTTTCTTCGATTTGAAAGGCCATGGTCCACAGGGAATGACTAGAAGCGAGGCGGTTGGTTCGCTTGAAATTGAGAAGCTTTCTTTGGCGCTTTTCCATGCCTCCGCGCGCAAGTCTTTTCAGTCGGGCTCACCTTGAAGCTTCGAGCCATTCCCGGTGCGATTATGAGATTTTTGTTGAAGAGAGTTGTCTCTTCAAATATCATTTTATAATTTGGTTTTTTTTTCCGTAAAGATCTTATCAACTGGACGATGACCTATCGCCAAAATTCGGACATTTGGTATCCATATGCTCATCTTGTACGTAGAGAGCAAGGTCTTTTCATTACAATCTCCATAATTTCACCGAAAAGGGATTAATTTAGAACAAAAAGTCGATTTCGAAGCGATATGGGCCATGAAAAATCACAATAAGACGGCGAGTTGGCTCGTTTCTAACTGTGAAACTTCGAATCATCGATTGAAGTTGGGCAAAAAGATAAGGGAGATCGGACTTTCAGTGAGGGTTTCAGCATTTGAAAAAAAAAAGAAAGAAGAAGTTTTTATTTTTTGAGTTCTTAGGTGTAAACTTGATTTTATTCTTCCTAGTGATCCTCTATTTTCTATTCAAGAATTTTGACCAATATCTTTGCCACGTGAGTGTAGTGTGATATGAAAAAAAATTTTTTTACTAGAACCGAGGACGTCGCTCAAAAATCATGAAGTTTATGAGAAGATGGGAAAGAAGTCACTCAAGTGATTATATTCAAATTGCCACCTAAGTTCGCTTTCAGAAAGAATAACATTACAATTTTTTTCTTTCAGCTTTAACTAATTTTTTTCCCAAAAAAAGTAAGAAAAAACTTTCAAAGGAAAGCTTTCAAAATGATACTTTTTCATCGACTTTCATATGTTCCCAAACTCTCCCTTCATCTATTTCGCGAAATTTAGTACTTGTGTGTGAGAAATAAAACATTTTGAAAAAAATTGAAATTGAAATTGACATTATTTTTCAAAAAAAATATCATTGCGATTCCATTTTTCAGATTGATATTTATGGGGCCTGTGGACTTTCTATACCAAATTGTCCTTCCGGTATGGCCTGTGCGGTTTCCACTCTCAAGTGAGCAAATTATCCAAATATGATAAAATGAACATTTTTTAGGCCCTACAAGTTTTATATGGCATTCGAAAATGCAAATTGTAAGCAATATGTGACGGAAAAATTCTTCGAAGCGCTTCGAAGCAGAATTAGTGTACCGATTGTCATTTCGAGGAGGTTTTATAAGAATGTTGTAGGTTTTTTTTTCCATCTTCTGAGTCAAATTGATGCTTTTCATATTCACAAAATTTCGAAAAATGAAAATATTCCAGGGAAATAGTTTTATTAGCAAACGTTTGTCGTTTCAAAAGATCTTTTTCAAGTTTATTTTTGAGCTTTTAAAAAACGCTCCAATAAACTGAGTTTTTCATTGGCTTTGAAAATGGGCGTCGCCAGCCAATGGGAGACTTTGTTCGTTGGAGAGAAATCAAAAACTTAAGGCCCCTGCTGAATCCTTCATCGCGGTCGATGATTTCTCGAATTTGAAAGATTTCGTTGCTCACGTGATTCGGGTGTCCAATGACAAGGCGCTGTACTTAAAGTACCATGAATGGCGGCAGATTTATGAGTTTGTTTCCTTTTTTGATCTTCGCGGAATTTATAAGTGCGTTTCAGTATGCTTTTTTTCATAGAAAAAAAAACTAAAAATGGGCGTGGCTAGCCATTTAAACAGGTTTTGTTAGCGAAGAGGGCGGTTTTGCTGGAAAACTTCCTTCTTAGCTCAATAAGTTTTTTTCCAAGTTTTTCATAGCGGTTTGGAGACCCCATACGTTTCTTTATACCTATTTGACCTTTCTTCACTTCAAGAACCGAGCGCATTTTTCTGCTGTGCGCCTTTAAATTAATCTCTCCGAACCAGGGCTGTTCGAGCGCTGTTTTGAAATTGAAATTTCTCAAGTTTTTTGAAGTGAGACGAGATCTCGTTTCGAATTCTTCTCGAAAAATCGAGACCTGGGGAGTCTACCTCGAAAAGAGATCCTGCCTGGAAAATTTCGAGGATTTTTGAGACGAGATCGAGATCTCAAACAAACCTTAGCCTGGCACCGATCCTTGACGTGCGAAATGGTATTTTGAACCATTTTTCAAATTCCAGAGTGAAGTTGGGCGACGATGAGGGTACGGGGATGTGTGAGCTTTGCCGAAGACTTCAGTACCCGATCGATTCCTCAAAAATCTACAAGGACTTGGCCTCGTGGTACAGGAATGACGACACTTGCGACCAATCCATAGCGCTTCGATTTTTCGATATTCCGTCAGATCCTGGGTCATAGGTATAAAGAAATCATAACCATATTACTTTAAAATCAGAAGAATAAAGGTACATTAAAACTTCTGCTCATTTTATTGAAATTTGACTCTCTTGAGAAAAATAAAACTTGAGATTTCGCTTTAGGGGGCTTTTTTGTGAGAAGTTGATGACCCTTCGATTTTCGTGTCACTTCTTAAAAACTCCAGAGTGGTCCCTATAGATTTTTTAGAACTCTAAAGAGAAAATGCCAGTCGAATAATTTGAAAGTCTCTTAAGGACCATCTAATCTTTACCTATCTACAGAGAAGATTTAATTCCGTATATGAGCTGTTCTTTCCCTATGGTCCCTATAGAGAACTTTCTGGCGTTTCTAATTTCTTTTCTATTATTCTCAACCCCCTTTCCTATCAATTTTATGTGGGGAACTACTGAATTTTTATAATTATTTTAGTGATCGCAAATGAACTGTATTTTGAAGACGCATGAGGTTGTCGCCGAGTAACGCGAAAACGGCCTTTTTCCGTCAGAATTCCAATTTTTTTCTAGGTTTGCTTGCGATGAAAAATTCACTTAAACAGAAAAGAAGTTAAAATATTTTTGGAAAAAAATTTATTATTTAACAAAAACAAATGAACGAGATGGTTAATCACAAAAAATTCCTCATATTCACGCACCATCTCGCTAATTTATTGAGGGTCATGAAATTGAAAATCACTGATCCTTCAAACTTTCGAGAAAAGCTAGCGATGAGTTTGGCATAATCTCTCTTATAATGTTGATATTTTTCGAAAAGATATGTGTATTTCTGAGAAAATGTTACATGAAATGTGTACAGTTATAAAGATTTTTGGGGAATGTAATAAATTTGAAGTGAAAATAAACTTTGGTGAAATATGGTTCTCGGGTTCTGAATTGGATAAGAGAAAAGGAAGAAATTAGATGAGAATAACGTGAAAGTTTGGAACTTTTGGAAAAGAGATTGGAGCTCTTCGGATTTGAAAAAAGTAACATAATTTTCAAGCCACCTGTACAATTAGAATAGGAAGTTTACATCTTGAGATGAAGTAATGGGAAGAAAGGAGTCAGGTGAAAGAAGAGCAAATTTTGGAAGGGGACCTCATGCAAGTCAGAACACGGTCGATCCATTGAAGTGGTCCGTTCAGGTGAGCCTCGATCCAGCAAGGTGTCATGAGCACCTGGAAATTGATTGTTTTCGAGTCGATTGATGAGAAAAACATTCCAAAAAATTCCGAGAAGTTGAAAAAACTGTATTTCCTTAGGAGTTCCGAAAAGGGTGCGAGAAACTCCGCTTTTCGATTTTCAGTTCTATTGAGCCGTTTTAAAAAACAGAAAAAGTACGAATTTTCTTATATAATTCGATGTTTGATTTGGAAAATAGCGATTTCAAGAAGGAGGACAGAGATTTAAAGTTCTATAGAAATTGTGGATTTTCTTGAAAATCTATTGAAGAATAGGTACAAAAGGAATTTTATTAATCGTGCGGTCGTTTCGAGTCTTAAAATTAGGGTCCGCAAGCCATTTCTTCAAAACGATCCAAAAAATATGTTTTTCACACTGTTCGATAGAGGAGACTGTCCATTTTCATATTCCGTTTAGTTTCAGAAAAAAGCTCCACTAAGAAAAAAGTTATGGCCAAAAAACGAGCGCGCGCGGCGTTCAACTGGAGGCAAAATCTCACGGTTTACCCGCTGCCGCACGCTTTCTTTTTAAATGTTTTTGCGTAAGTCTGAACCGTTTTCAAATCGGTTTTCTGTTCTGAGAGGTTGTCCGGACTGAGCTTCATGTTTTGGTATGAATCTTTTGTACAATCCTCATAAGAATTTTTGATAAAATATCAAAAAACTACTTAGAAAAAAGGTCAGAAGGAATTTTTAGCTTATTTTTCTTTTTTCTAATGAGAAAAATTATTATCATTTGGTTTTAAAAAAAGAAAAAATGAAAAAAAATGTTATTTCGAAATAAAACAGGAAAATGTGCAATTTGACTCCGAAAAACGGCTCCTGCGACATTTAAAAGGGCGCATCGGTGTGTTGGACGCAAACACTGCTACGGACGCTTGCACGAATTCTTCCAAAATTTCAAAAAAAATTGACATTTTTTCGAGGTTTTTAGAGCCGTTATTTTTTTCGCGTCGTTTGATTTTTTTCATAATTTTTTCATTGATAGAGTTTTGAACGCTTAATAACCTGATCAAAAGTATAAACGCGATCCTATTCTCTCATGCGTCAACGAGGCAGGCGAAAAAAAGGAGGTTTTGGTAAAATTCAAATATAATTTGATTCGCTGTCCCAATAATTATTTTTCATTCTGAATTTTTTTATTTTTTTGAACACATTGTGAGTTATTAAATCAAATAAAAAAAGTATACCATGTCGCTGAAATTTTTTCGCATTTCAGCTTCAAAGTTTGGTGTCACTTTACAAGCTTTGATTTTTTTTTTCGCGTCGTTAGATTTTTTTAAATTTTTCTTCAAAAAATAAAGAAAGTGTTAATGTATAACACACTCAAAATTTAGAAGCGTTCCTCACTTGGTTTTCTGAAACGCGACGATTTTTGTGAAACTTGTCAGTTTTTTTGTGTTAAATCCTACTTTTTTTCGCTTATTTATGAAAAAAATACATGGTTTCAAAAAGATTCCGTCTTGTAGAGCGTTGTCGATTACATAAGTTTTCAGAAATAGTTATTTTTTAAGATAGAACTTTAGTTAGTATAAACGCCTCAAAACCGTTTCTGCAACAAAAAATCGTCATTTTGGTGCCATGAAGGGGCGGGGCTTTGCGCCCCCTACTTAAAAATAGACTTTAAACCAAAAAAATATTTGATGACTGAATTTTTAGCTTTACATCATATTCATATTAAAATGTAAAAATTAATGAAATGAAGGGAGAGGAAAAAAATAAATAAGTAAAAAGTTCTAGCTTACCTTGAAAATAATCTTTTTTTACGTTTTTTTTTTCTTTTTTGACATCTGGACCTCATCAGGACTTTCTATACAATTGTATGTGAATAATGAATGAATTCGTAAAAAAATTAGCTCCTGATTTCACTTAAACTTTCAAAAAAAGGTAAAATTTTTTTGATCGGTTTTCTTTTGATATTTTTTTAAAACCTTTTTGCTTCATTTTTCGTCCAAAACTAACGCCTTTTTTTGAGGAATCAAATTATTTTTGATTTTTTTAACTCAATATTTGAGAGAAAAGTTTCCGAAGAAAAACTCACATTTGACCGCTTATAACTGTCGCCCCAGCCCTTGAAAAAAGACATTCGGATGGTACACATCCTCGACAAAGAGTACACATCTTGGTAGGATTTTTCAGCCGCTAGAGCCAATTGTTCGGCGAATTGGGCGTTGTTGAAAATCTTCATGTTGCAACGGCCAGGAAGCTGAAAAATGGGGAATTCAGAGAATTTTTCGCGATTCTTGAATAAAAAAATGAAAAAAATTGAAAATCCTCAAAAAAACCTCTGGAAATTTTTTTTTAGAAAGTGAAAGTTTCTGCAAATTTTCATCGACTTTCTTTTTTTATTGACGGCTTCTCCACTTTTTTTCAGTTGAAACGAAAAAAAGAACGAACCACTTTGCTGACAGTGTTTAAATGGAAGCCATGAGTTAGGTTGGCGCTGAGAGTTTGAACGAAAAATCGGGAATTCTCCGAGGCATTCGAGAAAAAAACCTGTAAATATTGGTTTTAATTCATTTCATTCCAAGAAAATTCACCGATTTTTGTGGGTCAGCGATTATAAAAAAACGAGTTTTTTTGAACTACAAACGAAAAAAAAACTGTCCAAATAAAATTTATTTAGCGTGATTTTCCTAATAGAAGTTGTTGAAAATTCTGTTCCTAAAGTCTTCGATGACCAAAAATATCACAAAAAACGACAATTACAGGGTGAGCAATAAATATTGAAACCGTTTTTTGTTTGATCGCTGCTTTTTGCACAAAGGACTGGCCATTGAATTTTTTTGTTTATTTCGTTCATTCATGCTCACTTATCATGTGTTTGAAGTTACAGCTCATACTTTTCAGTTTTCTGGTAATGGTGGCCCCATCTCCGTACCGAACCGCAATCATTGATTGTGTCAAAAGCGGAATGACAAATTCAGAGATAGTTAAAAAGCTGAAAGTGTCTCGTGTTCTCGTTTTTCGAACTGCACAACGCTATCGGCATCTCGGTACTTCAGATGACATGCAAAGAGGGAACGTCCAGTCACCGTCACGACTCCAGAAGCAGTCAAAGCCGTTCGAGAAAAAATCAGACGCACTCCGGAAAGAAGCATGAGAAAGATGTCAAAAGAATACGAAATGAGTCAAGGATCGATGAGAACTATTGTCAAGGACAAGCTGAAGATGATTCCCTACCGTATGCAGAAAGGAGCCTTCCTCAATCAAAAAAACAAGACATTGCGCATGAAAAAGGCTCGAAAGTTGCTCGCTGGCACGAAAGATGGCTCGCATCTGACGACGCTATTTACCGACGAGAAAATCTTCACTGTGGAGCCGAACAAGAACGGCCAAAATCATCGGATCATCGCTACTGACTATCAGAGTGCCTGTGAAAAAGGAAAAATTCTGAATAAAACTTCGCATCCGGCTTCCGTGATGGTTTTTGCCGGAATTATCGCTGACGGCAAAACTACGTTGATTTTTGTGGATCCTGGAGTCAAAGTGAACCAAGTATACTACAGGGCGTAGATTTTAAAGTTGAGGGTGTTGCCCTGAGCCAACTCTCACTACGGAAACCGACCATGGACCTTCCAGCAAGAAGGCGCCCCGCTCATCGTGCCAAAGGGACTCAAGAGTGGTGTCGCGCCAATTTTCCGAGTTCATCTCGGCTGCTGATTGGCCTGCTTCCTCGCCCGACCTCAACCCGATGGACTATGCCGTGTGGATATATCTGACCGAGAAGGTCTCTTCTAAGAACTACCCAAGTATCAAAGCGCTGAAAACCGCGCTCATCAAGAAATGGGACGAAATCGACGACGACTACCTTCGTGCCGTGATCGATGCGTATCCGAAGAGACTGATGGCCGTTATCAAAGCTAAAGGAGGACGTTTTGAAAACTATTCTCGAATTTTGTTTCTATATTGTATGAATAAAATTTGCTCCAAGTTTGGTGGTGTTTGGTTGACTTTTGAAAAAGTTATAACGTTTCAAACGCGTTTCAATATTTATTGCTCACCCTGTAGCATTGAGACCTTTCACGGAAATGACCATGCTCCTTTAATATTCAAAAAGACCGCTTCCAACCTCGCCACCCAAATAGTAGAGCCGAATGCCCCGGGAAATCAAATTCCTAAATTCGGAAATGTCCTTGCTTCTTCGGACGTTGTTGAGGTAGCCCAAGGAGAGTCTGCAAAGTTTTTAAGAGTTACTGAACGTTTTTGCCTTCTGTTCTTTTCAAAAAGAAACTTGCCTGTTATCCTTGTCAGTAGTGGAGCAAGTGAACCCATCAACGAGAAAATATTGCGAGTGAACGTCACAAGGTTTCACGCACTGGACACCTTCTTCGTAGTAGACAAGCGTCACCCAATTTCCTGGCTCTTGGAACTCGACCAGTTCGTAGTCGCCGCTGCGAATTTTCGATCCTGGAAAAGGTAATTGTTTTGTTTTGGCTTAGATAAGATTCTATATTTTCATTATCCTCAACTACAAATTCATCCTCTTGTAAACTTCCAGAAGAATATTCTCAACACTTCATCATTTAGTAGAACTTTATCTTAATTATCGTCCTTCAGAATCATCTGGTTTTATTTTTGAGGTTCGTCGACTTTTTTGCTCCATTTCCATCAAATTACACACATAATAGTACTTCTCACATTTAAAAGCTAACTTTTTTATGGCCCCAATCCTGCTTTTTTATTACTTTTCAATAAATACAATTTTATAAGCTGTCTTTCTCACATCTCATTCTCTTTCTTTTTTTTTTTCTTCCAACAAATTTCACTCACGAATCGTATCTTCATCCTCATTCTCATCATCGAGATGTCTTTTCCGACTCGGCTGGGTCAGAGCCAACTGCATGGGCGACGGTTCGTAGATGAAATGCCTTTGAGGCTGCCTCGAAGTACTGGCGCCGTCGCCGCAGAAGGAATCTTCGGCGAATCGGGGCGGCTGCCAAGTCCCGTCTTCCTCCTCGTACATTGGCCGGTAAGAGAACGGCGTTTCGTTGATCTCGGCGTCGGCCATCGTGTCGTAGTTGTACGCGTACTCGGGCGGGTTGCTATACAAGGCAAATAATGAGAAGGTGAGATGAGATTCGTGTTTGCTGTTACTTTTATACGCCGTGTATATACTAGGGATTGTTGTGGAGAGTACTGCTGACTAGAGTATAGTTAGGGACCGCAGACCAATTTTCGAAAATTTTTTTTCAGCATTGAGCTTTGCATGGTTTGATAGCTGTTTCGATTCGAAACTCAG